GGAACCTACGTTTATAGGGCAAGGCAGTCATGTGACTGCGGATGCATACTTCAATACTACGTCATTGTCACATGATACTCTGAACAAATGTGCTGAGTGTCACATGAGTAAATACTGCGTCATTGTCACATGACACTACACTTAGGACTAGTTTGTAATGAGCGCACCTGATGATTAGCTCCTGCGGAGGAATAACGTAGACGGCTGCGGAATGGAATTATTAGTGGACAACGGCAATAAAAATTTCGCTGACGGGCCTGAGGAAAAGTCACGTGATTTTTTGGGCGACTGCAGAACTATGAACTGACCGTCTTGCTGCTCAACCATGCATTAGACATAACGTAGAAATGATTGTTATCGATAACCAATTAATGGAAACATCTCTTCTAGGACTTTGTCCAGTTAATCCAGTTCTAGATGGAATCTAGGGGGCATTACTCTCTAGGTACTTCGTACATAATCTCTCCAGTTCATAGAGGTATTCTAGGAAAATTACCTGAAGGGCGCTAAAAGCGTAAAGGATGGAATCTAGTCAAGACGCTCATGCGGAAGAATAACGTAGACAGCTGTGTTGCAGAATATGAGTGGACAACAGAAAATATATGTAGTGATAGTACAACGATAACCATCACTTTACGTTATGATATTAGGAACACATTCCTAAGACCTTTGCGGGGGCAATTGTAGAACCACCCGCAGGGTGCGCTCAGTTCATAGGGTCGGAGACTATTCGAAGAGCAGTTATTCTACTGTTGTCGATAACAGCATTTATACGTTATTGGTGAGGAGGTAAGACATTCTGGGTATGAGTGGAATAACGTGGGAGAATGATGACGCAGACGGGATGAGATTTTCTCCTATAATCATTACCATCAAGAGCACATGAGCCTTTGGCTGGGCAACGCCCACATAGGACCCTCAGGTATCGATGCCACGTGCATTCCATTGTCCATTAATAATATGTCCTGCAGTCAATAACCTACGATTGTTTCGTAACAATACAGGGATTCACAAAAATTTTGGTAAGAAATTCGTTATTCACTATTTTCTCTATGACATAGTCAATAACCGTTGTCTACAGTCGACCTCCTCGAAGAACAGCTTTAGCAATAGGAACACATTTTTTAAGACCTTTAAAGAGGAAGTTCCACTTCGTACCTTTTAGGTAGGAGTATTCTTTCCACGTTATCTTCTACCTGTTGAATTCGCTGCGGATATCGACTAATTTTCAATAACCTAAGTAATGTAACATAATATCAATTGCAGATACGTGAAGCATATTTCTTGGATATCACCAGGTAGAAGAACCTTAACATTAACCTGTGAAGTGAACCTTATTTTTGTTCACAATACTGCGGAAGAGAAAATTAGTAGACAACTAATGTGGGGATTGATTATTAGTGGACTACGGCCTTACCTACTATGCTATGCCTACAAAGTAAATTTCTTTCCGTGGTCGACTATTCATCAACTATACGGATATTATAATATCCTTTTGCAGAAACAAGTGGATATTATTACCACATTTACTTACTGAAACATGAGTTGACATCGTTACAACAAATATGTGATGGCCACATAGATATACCGTAGAAAAATATGTGGACATCGTTACTGTGTAATACTATTGGAGTATTGGATAACATTTGTAATATGATTAATACTACGGGATTTTTTTAGGAGGATAAGTGAGGAGAGCGATAACGTGAGCAACATGGAAATGATATCTCCTTTATGAAACTAGGCAATAGTGTTTTATCGCTGAAAATTTTGCATTAATACTATCACTAAGTACTTCGTCAACAATGTGCATGATCAGCAGTTCCTACTTCAATAACACTAGACAAAACGGAACTTGGAATCAGGTTTACTTCACATGAATAACGGATTAGACTTATGTGAGCTGTTATTCATTTAATACTACTAACAATTGTTCAGGGTATTACGTTTCAGTATACGCAATAAACGAATTCTGATTTTTTATTCCTCACCCATCTGAAGACGATACTCATGTCTAGGTATTAAAATTGATTATACGTGTATAATTGCATAAAGATGCGCAGAGTTATCATTCTTTTGATTATCCTGCTTGTTTAAAAGACATATATGCGGCCCCGAAAGGTCACGGAGGAGGCACGGGAGGAGGCGCCACAGGTGAACATTCTAATGGAAATGGAGCATCCGGTGACCGATCAAGTAGTGTAGGCGATCACGGTAAAGGGACAGCCATTGGCAAGACACCCTCCTCTCAGAACGTAAATAACAAAAAATCCATGGCCCTAATCTCTGTTCCTGATCCATTGCTAATATACCATACGACATACATCTTATTGCTAATATATGTTTTCGACTAACTTTATCACACAACAATGCACTTAACGTGCTCCTGAAAGACAAGTAGCGATAAGTACTAATATATATTGATAAGTACTGATATTTCCTCAACAATTGTAAAATACTAATTATGAGCTATATTCGACTTTTCTGACGAGAAGTATCCAGAAATAATTTCGCTGACCTCAGGTCAGATGTGATTACTGATAAAGGACACTTTCTGGAGGTAATTCAACCCCATCATTAACGAGTAAGAGTTCCTCCCTTACGAATTTACGATCAGGTCCCTCAAGTAACTTATAAAGGACTGGTTGATTTTTTTGTATACGAACTTCCCCAATATTATAAACTTCAGGACTCCAGTTCATATCTGTACCCCTTCTTTTTGGTCCACCTTCAACCTCACCAGGTTCAAGAAGATAACGAACACTATCTCTGTAGGTCAAACGTGGCTCATTATAACCAATAGGCCTATTATATTTACAGGAAGATTTTGAATAAACTTTTTTCTTTTTTACTGCTTTAGCAGGAGCCATACTAATTAACCTAGTAATAGAATTATTAATATCTTTAACAATTATAGGAAGGTTCTTCACCCAAGCATGAGATTTCCTGACGCATATAATGATAACTCATGAGCATTCTGTATGCGAAATAATCTTTTAGATAGGGTAAGATTATACCTTTCAACAATACTAACAGATCGTTTAGATCTAGCTTTTTGAATTTTTACACCATGTCTTCTCATTAATCGTTCACAGTCGCCTTTAAATTCAGACCCCTTATCCGTAATTAACAATTTTGGCCATACAAGAAGGCAATCAGGAACATCATAAATCTGTTCAAAACCTTTAGAAATAGTACGTGAGGTTAAAATACCCTCTCTATTCTTAATGCTAGTCACACCTATTGGAATAGAGGCCTTGTATCTCGAAGCCACATCCACTACATTAAGACAAAAAAGATAAGTAACACGTCTAACCTTGTCATGTGGCATATATAAAATATCTGCCTGATGGCATTCATTAGGTATGGTAATACTGTTAAAAGATGAATACGGGATATACGTAGGACGAGGTGCATGTACAGTGGTGAGCATATTTTTTTGGAAAAAGATAGAGGCGAAATACGCAAAAAATGCACTTCGAAGAAGGTCCTACGGACTAAAAAAGAGTCTAATATGGCCATTTTCACACATTCGCCATTCCAGTGAAACTGGACTCTGCCCAAATAATTTTGCTCACCACCGTATTTGCCATACGGCCTGCCTATGTAAAAAATTGCATACATCAGACAAGTCATAATCGTATCTTTGTTTTTTTACTGCCTGCAATATATAGAGTGTCGACATAAAATACGCTACGCCATGAAATAGAATAAGCTCCTGAATGTTACATGATTTTTTTGTTTTTCTTCACGTATTTTCAAATGTTGAATGTGCTACATTAGGAAAGGTTACGGAGAAGAATATGAGTGGACACAGGAGGAATAACGTGAGCTCCTGCGTCGCACAATATGAGTTAATACTACGTCATGGTCAGTCAGCAGAGACTGCCCAAAGTGCACATGACACTCTACTCATTTGCTCAGAGTATCACATGAATAGTGTTACATTAATAGTATTACATAATTAATATCACATGACGCAAAATATCATGTTGTTTATTTTCACGTGACTTTATTGTGACTGCGGAATGATTAGGATGGTGGAGAATCTTAGTAGTAACATCTTTCTTTCTTATTATCTGCGTCATCATCCACGCCTTATAATACTTCTGTGGACTTATTTTACGTTATTGCAAAAATTTGTAACGATTATTAGTGGACAATGAGAGAAATAACATGAGCTCTTGCGAAGGAATAACGTATGTGTCTTTTTTATCAGTCAAAGAGCCCTTGGCTGAGCTTCGCCCACTGCTCGGAGAGCAGTTTTACTTCGTACCTTTCAGGTAGTATCTGTAATCGAACACAGTCTCAGTATGTAGTTAGTTGATAATGATTATTCCATTTTTTGGTAACGATGATAACGAATTGTTATATGCAATGGCCATCTTGACCGTGGACACCAGAATAATTACTTAGTATCCCTTGGGTATCTATAGCTGATCATTAGTGGACAACAGGGGTATCATATACAGCTACGGAAAATGATTAGGAGTGGGGGGATTTTGCCAAGAAATTTGGGCGAACATTGTTCGCCAAAATCAGACTTTGAGCGACTGCAGAAGAATAACATAGATAGCTGTGGAAATGAATATGGTCTCCTGTGAGTAACCACAGTGGGTAACTATTAACCTATATAACAGAGCTACAGTCTACTTCATACCCAGAGAGTAGAGCAAAACAGTCATGGCATACACGTGACATCGATACCTGAGGTCATATGTGGGCGTTGCCCAGCCAAAGGCTCATGTGCTCTTGATAGTAAATCCGTCTACGTCCTCATTTACCAGAGCTCCGCCACATTTCATTCATATGTATAGATATTGTTATCGACAACAGGGGATAATGTGAGTGGACATGGGATCGTTCTGTTTTACCATCTACTACTACTCATATTTGTCTATGTTTTTTTTCTCAGTGGCTTGTGTAGAATATATTTAACCTTCTTCCCTGCGTTCCTTCTTTTTTTCGTCCTTTTGAAGTAATACGGTTTTTTTAAAAAAATGTTTGACGACTACGATCCTGTTGAGAACTACAAGACTATTCTTAAGAGAGATTCCCTTGATGGCTATCAAGCCCTGGAGAACAAGTACAATCTAAACAAACTATCTGGCGAGATGGTTGTCGTGAAAGACAACCTGGGTGGCCTGTATCTTGTGTTCCATACCCGGAATGAGTTCTGGGACCACTATCTCTCTCTCCCCAATGGCCACCGATGTTACGATAAAGTTATTTTCGGCCATCGCCCTCAGCACCCTAAACTTGATATTGACATCGACGATATTCCTCGTGGCGAGGATCAGCAGGTTGTCTCTATCATGAGGACTATTATCGATGCCTTCGAACAAGAGTTCTATGATTCCTATAACATCTACCCTCATAGGAAATCCTTTACCCTCCTAGACTCTAGCGGGTTTTCTCGCTCTAAGGGCAAGTGGAAATACTCGTTCCATCTCCACCTCACGGCTCATGCCTTCTGCAACTACATAGAGGCACGAAACTTCAGGAGTCGACTTTTATCCCGCCTGCCCCAGCACTTGCACAAGTACGTGGACGATGTTAACAAGCGCATACAGAGCTTTCGTTTGTATGGCTCCTCTAAGCTAGGCGAGACTCGGCCGTTTGTCTTGTCCCCCTATTCTTCGCAATTGGGCACTAACGATGTGATCGAATTCTATGATGCCCTTCTTGTTACTGCACACCCCCTTTGGAACAGCATCGTGGGGAATGCCAGCATCGCTGGTGCTAGTACCCCTCCCATCTTTTCTCCTGCCTCTGAGGATTGTCAGGAAACCCTTATCGACCACGCTATTTCTCTCGCTAATGATCTACACGCTACTTACGGCTTTTCTCTTCATGATGTCAAGTTTCCCTTTGCTAATTTCGACAGGACTTTCCCGACCCATTGCACTATCTGTAATGAGACTCACCACCGGAACAATTCCCTCTACCTGCTGTTGAAACAGCGAAGCGAAACACTGTGGGCCGTCGAAGAGAGGTGCCATCAAGATTCTAAGAGAAATCACCGCACACTCGGGTATCTCACTGTTGGCAACAACACTATTTCTCATTCCTATGAGTATCCTGTTGATGCCGTTTCTCCTATTTCTGCTAATAACGGGCAACCCCTCTCACAGGGGCCCTCTTCTGGCACATTTTCTAGGCAAGACCGTTTGGGCAAACGTATTAATGGCATCCATAACGGAACTGTCGACCCTAAGCTTAGTGTTGATACTTCAGCCGATTGCCTTCTTTCTAGTGCGAGTATCATCAAATACTCCAGTGACTCTATGGAGGACTACGAGCTAGTGCCTACCTTGCTAGTCAGAGGTAATATGGGATTGGGTAAGACCAAAACACTCCGTCGCTACCTTGACAACTATTTTCCACGCAATGCGACAAGAGAACCAGTCATCCGTTTTGTCACTTTTCGGCAGACATTCAGCCAATCCCTGCAACAGTTGTTCCCTGACTTTACTTCGTACAAAGACATAGCCCTTGGTGGGATATGCCAGGCGGACTTCCCTCGTGTAATTGTACAGGTAGAGTCCTTGCACCGTATTATTATCCCTTCAGAACACAAGCCTATCGATGTACTCGTCCTTGATGAGGTTGAATCTACCCTCGCACAGTTCAGTAGCGGACTGCATAAACATTTTAGTTCTGCGTTCGCAGCATTTAAGTGGATGTTGAGTACTGCACGTCACGTAGTTTGTATGGATGCTAACCTTGGTGCCCGCACCATAAAAACCTTACGGCGAATGCGGGCTTTACCCATGCTTCTACACTGGAATGTGTTCTCACAAGCAAAAGAGGACCAGTTCTACTTCACAACTAATATGGGGGACTGGATAGAGTCCCTCCTATAAAAGGCCGTACACAGTGGACAGAAGATTGTTGTTCCTGTAAACTGTCTCAAAGACGCAAAGTTCGTCGAAGAACTCCTACACACTAGGGCCAGCGACAAGAAAGTGGAACTCTACAGCAGTGAGACCCTTCCCTCGAAAAAGAAGGAGCATTTCGGTGACGTTCATTCCTACTGGAGTGGACTTGATGTCCTTATCTACACCCCTACCGTCTCAGCCGGGATTAGTTTCGAGTTAGAGCTCTTCGATACTGTGTTCGCTTGTTTCAGTGACAATTCATGCAATGTTGAGACCTGCTGCCAGATGCTGGCCAGAGTCCGGAAGCTTCGAACACAGGAATACTTTGTCTGTTTTCGATTGATGAACGATTGCCATTCATTAGCTGAGACTACCGAAGAAATTTCCCAGCTGTTACATGACAAACGCACTGGACTGTACCAGACGGTTACTGACGTTGCACTACAGTTTGAGTATACTGTGGATGGCGGTATCCGGTTCTACAAGTCCGATTATTTCCATCTCTGGCTTGAGACCGAGCGTCTCAGGAACCTCTCGAAAAACAAGTTCATGTTCCGGTTTGTGGATCAAGTTGCTTCCACTGGCGCCAGCATTGCCCTTCTTCCCGAGCACGACCCTAGTGTCAGCAGAGATTATTGTGCTACTTATAAGTCTATTAAGAATGAGCTGGAGCTTGTACATTGCGAGGCAGTAGCTAAGTCTCCAAATATTTCCGAAAATAGTGCCCTCTCCCTGGTAGAAAGGCTGAATAACGAAGAAGACGTTTACTGTTCCAGAAAAGAATTCACTGAAAAAGTACAACCTACGTGAGCTCTATGAGTACGGAGGAGAGATAACTCCCGAGTTCGTTAAAAACTACTCGAAGCCCGCAGTCAAACAAGTGTACCATAATCTAGAAAAGATCACCCGTGGAAAGACCGTAGACGAGGCCCTCCAGAAAATGCGAGAACACGAGTTCACGAGATACACTGATATTCTGGGGGGCAGTGAAGAAGACTCTTCTGATCCTACTAGCTATGTAAAGGAAGGGCGTGACCTGTTGAACGAGCGAAGGACCTACGCATACCATGCACACTGTCTTGCTATTGGTCTCTTACGTAGGTGTGGCTTTCAGTGTATACGTAATAAGAACAGCGTCCACGATGAACTACTGGAAAGGAATATACGTGAGTTGCTTCCCGCACTTAAGAAACACATGGACAAGTTCTTGTACGAGTTTGAGGTGAGAAAGGTCAATGTAGACGCTCTTAGCAGAGAAAAAGACAGGGAACAATTCCTCAAGAGGAGTCTGGTGTTCATAAACTCTGTCCTACGAAAAATGTACGGCATCCAATTATGAAAGTCGAGGAGAAAAGGTGCAACACCTAGCTACACGATTACCCAGAATTCTGTGGGCAAACTATTTGTATATTCAGAGAGAGACAATCCTGCTCCGGATGACTCTGACAAACCTATCATCTACTCTAGCCTAGAAAAAATACCTTCACCGGTAAGCTTACCTCTTCAAGGGGCCGCATAACACCCAGGAAAAGTGGATCTTACTATCGGTAACAATCAATTATACGTCTGTGGTAGAGTGGCAGGACATTCTGAACGAAGTGATGAGGTTTGGCTTAGTCTTTCGAGCCAGTTCCACACTTCCATGCTCCGCCTAAGTAAAACATGTGAAGTAAATTAGTCGACCTCAAAGAAGTGTAGTCTGCTGGTGCCGTTTAACATTTCTCGTATTTATAGCACACGATATTCGAGGACTGTAATACGGGAAGGATGCAGACACCAAAAGTGAGGGGGTTTTTGTGTTTACCCAAAAAAACAGTGGATTTGTAGATTTTAGCTTGAACATTTATGACGATACTGGTGAATAAAGTACTAATTGCAGAGCAGACCACTGTAATCTGTTAAATCTAGTAAATTTATTACTCCTGGCTGACTGTCTTGCCCACGAAGGGAACTTCCTCTGCAAAGGTCTTAGGGTGTTCCTAATAAAGGTTCTATGAACTAAGGTTCCTAGGCACATAATTACGTAATTTTGTCCACAATACCACTAAACACACATCCACGTTATATTGCGTAACATGTTTGTAGTGTATCTACTCGAAGACTTTCACTCAAGGTTACATCTGCATGTTAATAGAGAGAATAGTTTTCGAGTACTAGCATGATACGGGTGGTAATAGAGATCAGGAACGTGACATCTTCGCACAATATGAGTGGACGACAGGAGTAACGTAGGCGACTGCGGAGGAATAACGTGAGCGACTGCAGGGAATAACGCTTCATTATTTTCCTCGTTCCTCGAAAAATCATGAAGATTTTTTGTGTACGTTTCTTTCACTTGATTATGTTTGTAAATAATTAAAAATGTCTAATAAGCGTGGTTGAGCGGCAAGACGTCAGATAACATGGGAAAAATATCTTGCCCTACCCGCAGGGTGCGCTCATGTCAATGATAATTATCTATACAAAAAATATTCTTCATCGTTATTAGTACTCCGGTAATCATTGATAGTTATCTCCCCATAACATGCTGGCCATCTCCTCCCTGTTACCCACATTATCTTCATACAGTCTACACCTTTTACCCATGGTATGTCCGTTATCATCTACACTTCTCTTCCCATGTTGTCTACGTTAATCCATCAATGCTACTCAGTCAGAGACTGCTAGAAGAGCAGTTATTCTCATGTTGTCCACGCTATCTTCCCTATGTTATATCGGCCATCTCCCGAAGGGATGTACAATGCAGTATATGATATCGTTACCAAAGTTTATCCTAACATAGCTACATCGTTACCAACAAATATATGCATGTAACACAAAATACACTGCGTGTAATGAATATGTCCTGTGTACTATTATTTCCGGACAGGTAACGTTATTCAGGTAATTTCTACAATAGTGTGCGCATTGGTTGACCCGGGTAGAACCACCCGCAGGGTGTTATTGATAACGAGTAATATACTCTATTGTAAAAACAGATGTAAACATCGTTACCAGAGTTATGTAACAGCATTACCAATTAATGTACTATTGGTACTCTACAAAAAAAATGCTTCATCGTTACAAAAAATTAGTGAATTAATAGTCTATGCGGAATTGATTGTTAGTGGATAACAGTGTAGGAGATTGCGTCGCAGAATATGAGTGGACAACAGGAGAAATAACGTGAACTCCTGCGGAGGAATAATGTGGACGTGATTGCAGGACAGATTATTAGTGGACAACGGCATTCATGTGACACTCTGAACAAATGCGTAGAGTATCATGTGACAATGACGTAGACAGGTATACGTAGCTAGTGCCCTCTGGGCATTCTGTGGAATGGCATCGACTACATCCCAAACGTCTACCGATGAGAATCGTTACGTCCGCCATCTACTCTAGAAAGATGATCTAGACCAATTTTGCGTAAATCACTTGGCTTGATGTTGTATTGCTTCAAATACGTATTAAACCACTTGACTCCTGGTTTACCAGGATCACGTAATATACCAGAATCTATTGATTTTTGAATCCATGTCAGTAGTTCTTTCGCACGTGTTTCACTTTTTTCCATTGACAGAAATGATCTTGGAGCGCTGTCTCCCCGACTTTTAGCAAAACCGATTACATGTACATTTTCAATGCGCAGAGTTATTACTTCAGCTGGTCTCATACTGAGCATAATCATAACATCGGCTGGTGCTAAAATGTCAGGAACATTAGTAGTACAGCAGTAATTTTGGAGTCTATTACTCACAGATTCAAAAGTAAATATCGTAGGAAGATTAATACCGTTAGCTTCTCAAATATCACGTTTTTCGGCTTGCATTCTATTTGCCAATGCAGTGATATTTGGATTTTTCGTTGCGTTGATAATTTCAGATAAAGCCCCAGTGTTTCTTAATTCAGTGCGCAACCGTGAAAGACATGAAGTAGTTGCTATTGGCTTCTCTGAATCAACTAACAATTGAGTTTCGAACAATGCATCATCGGGACTTTTGGCAAAACCAGTCACGTGTCCATTTTCAATACACAAATTTTTTACTTCGGCTGGTCTCATACTGAGCATAATCATGACATCGGCTAGTGCAAGAATGTCGGGAAGTGACCGCAGAAGAATAATGTGGACGACTACATCGCAGAATATGAGTAGATGTTCCTTTGGGGGTAATGATGACCATGTATCTTCCCCATAGTCCACATACAGTATAATGTCAGTGACAGTTACACAATTCACTTGCTGCACGAAAGTTACCATATAGGTTAATGATGAAATCATTTACTAGAATTGAACTAATGAAGTGATAACCCGTATTTATTTTATAGCAATCAAATTTTACCCAGAGAATACAAAGTAGTAAAAAAAGAAGAAAATACTATTATCCTATAAACTTAAATCTCGCTTAACCAATTCTATTAAATTATGTCACTCCCTACATTTTAGCCCTGCAAAAGAAAATTCCATAAGAAAATTATTTATAATCAATCTGATCCTCTTATCTTTTTTGATGTACTGAAATTCACAAAAATTTTACTATAACGTTTCATTTTCTCCATTTAAATAGTCTATAACATCTTTTGGCAAACCATTGCTAAATCTTTGAAATCTTCGATTTTACATCTCTCTAAGTTATTGCATTCAGTAAAAAAAGTATTTCTAATTTTCCTAACTTTTAAATTGTTTTGTTTATCGATTGGCTACAAACTGAATAATTACGAAGTGTTAGTTTCTTGAGGATCGCAGTAGATAATTTAAATTAAACATCGAGTTCTCATTAACCGTTACATTGAAACCATGATGCATTATATGACTTTAAGTTCATCTATAAGGTCACAAACGTTTTGAATAATACGATCAGGACGTTCATCCATTAATATTTTCAACTGCAGGAATCTTTCGTTGGTATTTTTTTATACAAGAATTCAAATAAAAAAACCCGCAGTAATTTCATATTACAAATCTTATCCAATACTCCAGGTATTACACTGTAATGATGTCCACGTATTTTTCTACAGTGAGTCTACCGTTATTCCCAAAGGGCACATGAGTAATACCTATCTTTGTCACTCTCAGCAATCTCTTCAGTAACGAAGTCCATAATTGAGTATGTATTGGTCGACAATGGTCAACGGCATTCACGTGACATCAATACCCAAGGGTCCTATGTGGGCGTTGCTCAGCTAAAGGCTCATGTGCTCTTGATGGTAAGAATACCTTATCCTATTTACGTCAATATATGCGGTTACCAACACATGCATAGTTACCGAAATAAATACTTAGAAGCTTCTCCTCCTACAAATTGTAACTAATGGTATATGTAATCATGGTTACCAACCAATATACGTTTCATTGAACTAAACGTATGCAGAAGTCGTTACCAAAGTCATTTATATGCTGTATTGTAACAAAAAGAGTATATGTTTATGAGTGTTATCGACAACAGGGGGTAATGTAGACATGGAATACCTCTCGTTGCCTACTCCTAATCATTTCCACCATTGCCTACGTTGTCCCTCCCTTCAATAGTGTGAAAAAAACTGTTATACATTCACTCGGAGACTGCCCAAAGGCACATATTCGTCTTGTGAAAAGATTATTGTTCCACTTCACCTACGTTACCCTATTTTTACACAAAAATCACGTGACTTGGACGACTTTTGGTCGTTGAAATTTTTACAGAACTGCTTGAACTGAAAAAAATTGGTAACCGTCTTCTCCTAATCATTTTCACCGTTGTCTACGTTATCCCCCCTGTTACTGGCGTAATGCCTTCTACTGTTGTCTTATGTTCTCTTCTACCTGTTATTACATCGTTACCAACAAAAATGTATAGAAGTAACGATGCCCACGTGTTTCTGCAATAGAGTATAATATTCGTATAGTTGTTAGGTAGCTTACTGCGTTCTAAGCTTTACAGAGAAGCTCCTTTTGGGGAATAATGTGGCTGTGTTTCAACCGCATATGATTTGGAATGATTACCTGCGTATCTGGTTATTCGTGCACCAGCATTCTCATCCTTAAACTTACCAATTACCTTCTTATTTTTAACTCTCGTGTACCGTCTGGCTTGGTTATCCATTGGTCAGGTGGTAATTTTTTAAGTAAGGGTGATCTTCCGGGTAATCACTAAAATCATACAAATCCGCATCTTCAACCATATCATCATATACATTTTCTGTTTCGATTTCAATGATAAATGAGTCTGTTTCAGTATAACAAGTTTAGCTTTATCCCCATATTTTCTTTTAATGTGGTTATACCAGAAATCATACATATAGTACTTACTTAAATCGAGAATCGTTGCTCCTACATAAATTAGCTTTAACTAATACCTTCCAGGTAAATACTGCTTGTTATCTATACTACACGCCTGCTGAATTCTTCACTAGTTATCTACGGTACGATAATTACACAACGCTGGTAAGAGGATAACAATCGTTACCAACAAAAAGTAACATAGTTACCAACAATAAACTACATAAAAGATAGCATAGGCATTACCATAGTTCAATGAAGTGCATATTAGTTAGTAACAATAAACGTTTATTCTCTCTGGTCGCAGTCATAGTGAAATTTTTTCTTGTAATCGACTACAGTAAATATGTATAAAAGTTTATGTTAAAGAAAAATAAACGTGGTTGGTCGGCACGGTGACCAGGTCAAGGCCCAGTAACGATGTCAACATATGGCGTATATTACGTAACATACGTACAGGCATAGCCTGGGCGGAGCCCAAAAAATTATCCCATGTTGTTCACTAACACTCAAATCTGCATAGACAAGTAATTCACTAATTTTTGTAACGATGAAGTGCGCTTTCTCAATAGTTACCAATAATCACCAATAAGTACATTTTTTGTGTAACGATAATTAGTGGACAATAGGAGGAATGTCTCGAGGAATAACGTAGACGTGGAATGCTTCGACTGAAGGGAGACGAAGGTATACTACATCGTTACAAATTAGTGGACAACTGCGTATCAGAATATGAGTGGACAACTGTGGAATTGATAAGCGACTGCAGGAATAACTGCTCGAAGAGCAAACTCTGACTTCTGGAAGAAGAATATATAAGGTTGCTTGTCTAAACCTCTTCAAAATCCTACGATTAGTTTCGTCAAAATTTTACTATAGATTTATTATAGTTTAAGCAGAGTTTAGGCAGTTTCGGCATTTATAATAAGTTTCAGCAGTTTCACCATTCTCAAAAGTTTCGCCAGTTTTTTAATATAACTTTAATATAGTTTCGGCAGAATTTCGCTTTTCGGCGAAACGCCATCTTGCCTAAACCCCTAGGTTTCGGCAAGCAACCTTAAGAATATAGTACAGTTAATAGGACGAAAAAATGAGCAGTTATTAGGCTCTATCTTTAGCACACTTGGTAATCTCTTTGGTAACTTTGTCTACAATTGAGTATGAATGGGACAACAATGATTATAATAGACAACTGGGGAAATAACGTGAGCTCCTGTGAAGGGTACTCATTTTTGGCGGAGTCCGGTCAGTCAGAGACTGCTCGAAGAGCAAAATTTAATCACGTGACCACTGTATTCCTCCTTTCAGTCGAAGAGTGCCCAAAGGCACTTCGTACCTTTCAGGTAGTATCTGTAATCGAACACAGTCTCAGTATGTAGTTAGTTGATAAGATTGTTCATCATTCCTAACTAATATGCACTGCAGTTGTCCACGTTATTCTCCATAACGGCCACTCATAATCTGCGAGCAGGAGCTCAGTCTTAGGAATAGTGGAACCCTCCAGATATTCCATGTCTACGGTATTCTTCCTCTATCATTTACCTACGTCTTTCTTCTCATGAGTGTTTTGGCAGGGGCCCTGTTACCCCCAAAGGGAACTTCCTCTGTCAAAAGTCTTAGGAGAATGTGTTCCTAATGCTGCTCAACCACGCCTATTAGGTACAACGTAGAGTTGATTGTTATCGATAACAGGGAAGGTACTTCATATTTACAAAAAATATTAGTAGACGGCTGCGGAATGGATAATAAGTGGCATCTTACTAGTGGTATCATTTCTGGGACATAATGTCTCGGAAATCTCTTGGCAAAAATCACGGTCAGTTCACTTCCGAAGGAAGGTCTAAAGACTAGTTCTGCAGGAGCTAATCATAGGGTGCGCTTATCACGTAAGGAAATTCTTCTGGGTACTCCTGAGTGTGTCATGTGCCCTTTGGGAGGGACCATGACGTACTATTTTCTCATGTGACACTCTACTCACTTGTTCAGAGTATCATGTGACCATGACGTAGTATTTACTAATTTTGTGTAACTATGAAGTATGCATCTGCAGTCGCCTACGTTATTCTTCCTGTTGTCCACTAATAATCCATTCCGCAGCTGCCTACTCTGCAATTGGTAATTATTGGTATTATTGGTAACTATTGATAATTATCATTACACAAAACATCCCTAAAGGGCGCTAAAGGCACTTCATCGTTACAAAAAATAGTGAATTACTTGTCTATGCGGAACTGAGTGTTAGTGGACAACATGGGATAAATTTTTGGGCGGAGCCCAGGCTATGCCTGTACATATATTACGTAGTACTAGTAAATGTAGACAGGTGCCCTCCAGGCATTCTGCTTTGCAATGTGTTCCTAATGTATAACAATCATTACAAAAATATTATCAATCGTTACCGGTTACAGTAATATAATAATCTTTACCAACTAATACCATCAGTAAATTAGATCGGCATAAAACAATGCATTGAAAAAACACTGTAAAATTCAATATGTTAATCATTGCAATGATCATCGCCAATCAGCAATAAACAATACACTGATTATTTTGTGCAATGATCATTAGCTAAAACTGCGCACTGATCATTTAGCATAGTTTAATGCACTGTTTAATATCTGTCTCTTATACACATCTAGAATGATCATTAGCTAAAACTGCGCACTGATCATTTAGCATAGTTTAATGCACTGTTTAATATCTTGTTTTACGCACATTTCAATTTTTTTTTTTACGTTTAAAAACAAATTACAAGTGCTAACCGGGATATTACTCACCTCTCTTAAAATTCAATTTTAATTGGTTAAACTCTAATTGACTAATTTTTTTTTAACTTCGATAAAAAAATCCCACTTTTTTTTTATAAAAAATATTTTTAAAAAATAAAATTAAAGCATTAATTAAAACAAACAATATAGCAATCCAAAGTAATTTCGTTTATTAATTAATTCTTTCAATACGTGTCACATTTTACAAAGAAACAAAACCCCTGATATTAAAGATAAAAAGAAAAAAACAGCAATGTTAAGTATGAAAATAATGAAATTTCAAAGTTAAAAAGATGAAAGGGGCAAAACATCAAAGATAAGAATGAAAATAACAAGTAAAAGAATAAAAATAACGAAATGCCAAGGTTAAAGAATGAAAAGGACGAAATTCTATTTTCTACAAACTTAATATTAGACGTGTCTTTAAATCTAGAAAGAAATACCAAATAAAATGAGAAAGTAAAAACAAAAAGGAAACGAAAGAGGAAAAATTGGAACAAAAAAAAGAAAAGAGAACGAAAAGGAAGAAAATATATAGAAAGGTGATAAAGAACAAAAATAAAAAAGGTAGAAAGAAAATAATTTAAAAGGTCAAAAGGATGAAAACCATAATTCCATAAAGAACAAAACCCATAAAGTTAAAGAATAAAAGAAATAAAATAAGTTAGTAAGAAAATAAAACACAAGAAACAAATACAAAAAAGAAAAATATACAGTACCTAACTAACACAGGTCGAAATGCTAAAAATCAGCAAAAAAAATGGCGCAAAAAGCAGTGGCTATTTTTGGCTATTTTTGGCTGTTTTTGGCTATTTACGAATTAACTTATACTATTTGTAAATAGTTTATACAAATTTGCGAATAGTTTATGCGATTTGTACCATTTTTTTGCCTATTTTTGGTCATTTGACGTGTGTAATCTCAAAAAATAGATGAACTATATTTAAAAAATAAAATAATTTACAAAATATTCATTTGTTTTATTGAAACATGGAATAATGTGAACAGGTTCAATAATAGATTCAATTGCTATAACAGTAAACATTGGAATACGTTTTACATATGAACAATCATATTTAAATAAGCAGTGTAAGTCATTGTATTTAAAATAATACCAATGAACTAATGCCAATTCTTGTTCATCATGACAGGGAATTTTTAATCCAAATAACATTAAAATCAAATAAAAAAATTTTTTTATAAATAAATAAAAATATGCAAAATAATAATTCTTATTTTTACCTTTGCAAAACATACTCCATCAATTGTATTATATTTTTCAGCCTCCTCTTAGTTCATATTAATTGCAATATCACTAAAAGCAGGTGCATTATAATAATTGCTTTTAGCTCGTATAGTATCAACTTCTCTAATAAATGCACTAGTATACCACTTAATAATTGTTGCTTCAATATCTTTATTAGTAATATTTTCGATAAGATCAAAATATTGATTTAATGAGTCAATTAATACTTCAAATGCTTTTTCAGCTTCTAATGCTAAAAAGTGAGTAGTTCTATATTCATCAACAAAGTCATTAAAGGTATCTAATGTAAAGCTGCCCTCAATTCCACCTAATGTTCTAATTTGACGATGCTTCTTGATTGAAGGTGGAGATGTTATTTTTTGGAGATAATTTAAAATACTATCATGTCGCACCTAATATGATATAAATGATTGATTAATTTTATATAATAAATTAATAGTTAAGGTATGATAATTGAACTATACCAAATTAATTATTTGTGAAGTTGCATCCCGCCGATTGGACATTCTATATGGAGCTTTAATATAAAATTTATGTAACGACTCATAAGTTTCAGTCGTGAAACCATTAATTGAACCATAGTTTCGTATAGCATCAATAATGTGATGTTGCCAATTGTGTAGTTTTGGGTATTTCATTTCAGTATCTGCAATTGGTGTAAATAAATTAATAAATTTATTTGCCCAATCAATAATCATTTTCTAAAATAATAGATCAAAGAATATTAATAAAATACTTATAATTATATATTTTAAAATTTTATAATGTACCTGAAAGTTATCAAGTTCTGAATCTGTAAAAGTATCCTTACGGCTAAAAATATACATTCTATTCCAGGATACAAATAAATCTACAAGCTTAGAATCATGTTGTTTTGCTTGAAATAAACTTAAATTTGATTTGCGTTTTGCAACAATTAGACCATCAATAACAAAGACCAATTGTTTCATCATATTTCGAAATTCTGCTGCTGTAAAACGTGCAATATTACCAAGACCACTCTTAAAAATCTTTAGCTCAGGAAAACGTGGGATCTTTGCCAAACGTTTATCAAATTCATCAATTCCATCTTTCACACAATATAATTGAATATAATTTCTAGCAAAATTAACTTGATAATTGAATAAACCAAGATCGCAATGGTGCATGCGATCTGGTACTGCAGCACTATAAATATTCAATTCAATATAAAATGGATATAAAATTATTTTAAGTTATTTAAAGTTAAATATTGGATAAAGTAATTTTTATAAAATATTCTTACGGGAACTTCCAAAAGATATTTCGCATTGGATGAATAGAATATTCATGACAAAGGTTGTTATTTATTACAACCTGCATATTATTGGGAGTTCTTAGTTCTATTTGAGATTTTGATAAATTAATATTATTTAATTCATCAATTGTTACAGTACAAATATAACAAGGATGACTACTCCGAGATGAGCTGTAAGTTAACGTTAATGATGCATCTTCAGGCAGATCACCTATAAATTCTGATAGAAAAGGAAATGCCCAAATTATTTGATTGTCTGTTTTAATATCTAATCCATCACATTCATATATTGGTTTAGTCATAATATCAAAACAATATTGATATAACATCCTTTTAGCAGATGCAAATTCTGATTTATTTTCATTACGATTATGAAGTGGTTTCAGCTTAGGCAAAATTCCTAATAAGACTTTAGCATCCCGTTTGTTTCTACGCCAATTAGGTATATTACCTAATGATAAATAAACAGGATGTTCTGAACTTTTGCCAAAATGGTCTAATGTAGTTGCATCAGAATATAATATTATAGATAAAACCTTTTTTAATCCTGTCCCAATTGATTTTTGAGCATTTTCCCACAACATTCCAGACCATTGCTCTCCATATACACACTCACGATGTCCATTTTCATTGGTAATATAATCCGGTGAACAATTCCATTGGCAATGATTTATGATATCGATATTAGATAATAGTTCTTTGATAGCTTCAAAAATAGGTCGATGATAAAGAAAATATTCTTCATCTTCATATTTTAATATTTTTGTTTTGAGATATAATAAATGTTTAATATCCATAGAACTAACAAATTCGAGACCTTGTACTGTATTTGTTGGTAAAATAATATCATCTCAGAGATGGTGTTTGAAAAACCATTTCAATATATCATTTCCAGCTGAATTAGATAAGTGATGTGTTGATATGAGCTCCATAAATTCAGAATATGCAGCATCAGGAAATTGTGGTATATTACGACTTGAAATAGACCTTGTATCAATTAAGGATATTTTATCAGTTTGTTAAGGAGTATATAAAGTGTAGTTATGAATATGATCATAAACTGGCTCTTCCTCAATATCGATGATGGTTTCAGATGTTTCAAAATCAGTATCACTATCACTTTCATCCATAATACCTCTATCCATAATATTTTCATCTATGACACTTCTGTCTACAACACTTTCATCAGCAATATTTTCATTGACAACATCTTCATTTACAATTTCCATAATGGCATTGTTATCATCATCTACATTATGATCGTTATCTACATTGTATTCACGTTCATCTACATTATCCTTTATAAAAAGTATACAAAAGGTTATACAATATTAATTAAAAGTATAAAATTTAAGTACACATTGTTATAATTACCGTTATCACAAATTCTCTGGAACACTCTACTTTTTCTATACAAGAATCTTCCGAAACACTGTTTAATATTTCCCAATAGGCCTGACCTTTATGAGATTTTGTATGTTCACGAAGAGCAGCATGGCGTGAAAAGGTTCTTTTACAATTCTGATATGGACAGTTAAACATTCTGCACAAAAAATTTTGTTGTTTAATATACAATAGATTTTTATCATTAAATCAGATACAAAAAATACAAAAAATTTTATCTACCTAGGTAACTTCAATTAATTATATATATATTAATTAAGTCTTGTGATTTTGAAATTATTAATTTGTTGGATTACATCATGATATTAGCATTACGATCAATTGATCAAATCACATCATAATATTATAATCTTCATATCTTAGAAGATCAAACATTTTTCTTTTTTTTAAATACAATGTCATCAAGACGAGGAAGGAGAAAAAACTGTAATACTACTACAGATAGTGAATCTGCCATATCCCTTAGAGAATTACTCAAAACTAATAAAACTTCTCATGAGAAAACAACTATAGTAAATTATTTAATATTTTTTATGATATTTCTAACATTAATGTATATTATATATACCTTATTACGTGAATTTTATAGGTTGAATTAAGTAAAACTGATGAAGTACAAAACAGAAAAAAAAGAAGGAATGATTTGAAAGAAAATAAAAAACAAAAAAATTCTCGAGTTTCCATATCGCAAGACATATCATTATCAAAAGAACATATTGAACATCAAGCTACTTCTCAAGATTTTCCGGTTGTAACTATTGTATCTGATAGTAATGATTTGAACGATTCTATGATTAATAATACTAATAAAAGGTATATGCATTTTGTAAGGAGTTTATAACATTAAAATTATATCTAATAATGAAATTTATTAATATTTAGCGAAAATCAAAGAGAATCGATAAACAGTGAATCTGATACACCTGATTTATCAACATCTCATCTAACCGAAAGGATAAGTGAGTGTTACAAAAATTTTTTCTATATATAGTATCATTTTGATTATCTAAACTGTATTTACAATTAAAGATGCACAGCTTAAGCGTAAAAAATTGCATGAACTTAGTAATTTACCATCTAAATGTAAGCAGTTATTTTTGATAAATATTACGTCAAATTATAATTTTATATTTATTTTTTTTAATTTAGGTGTTAAACTTGATGCAAATACTCATTCTATTCTTGAAAAAATCCTCGAAGAGCAGCTGAAGCAACGTATGACAATTGAAACTTTGCAGGAAAAATATGCAGAGTTAAAAAGTGATATTTATGAAAATCATAAACTCCTACAAAACATGCTTGCAGTTTTAACAAAAGAACCATCATTAACTACTAATAATCAAGCACATCAACTGGAGGGAAAAGTAAAGCAACGTTTGAAAAGAAAGGATACAAAACATTTGTGGTGGGATGTAGGTAATAATATAAAATTTTTATCTTAGTTAGATATAAATATAACTATTTTATAATATTTCTTTTAGGTTCCAATGACAGAAGCTTGTCATCAATTGTTTCAAGAAAATAAAAATCCGTCAGATGCAGATATTGAACGTGCTTTCAAATCAAAAATTCAAACTGATTATCCCAAAAAATTACAAGAAATTGTAGATTCAAGTGGATGGGATAATTTCTGGAATGCTGGATATTCAATTGTAAGAAATTTTATCAAAATTTTAATGTATAAAAACTAAATTCAATTTACAATTTTTAATACCTATATTATAGACATTGGAATATTTTCATAATTATAGGAGCTCTTACGTACACAAGATAAAAGATGCAGTTTACGCTACTTTCAACTTAATTTCTCACAAACTTAACAAGTTTGCCAGTCCCACGGAAGTCAGATCTTGGAAAGAATCGGAACAAGTTAAACAAGCAAGATCTAATTTGTGGAATAAAATAGATAATGAACCAAATTCTCCTTCACTTATTGAAGATATTTTGCGAAAAGTGTTTATGAAAGAAGAGTTGCAAAATGAAAATAACATTAAATTCAGTATTACAGTTGCATGGATGTTATTAGATCCATCATATGATCAGGTTGAAATATCATCATCAAAAGTACAAGAACGGATGGATAAATGGGATACTGATTCTATTATACAAAAATGGGTATGTAAAGTATTAAATTAATTTGTATCTTATTTTATATATTTATTTTTTTCCTTATTTTAATCAAACATTTTAAATTTTAGCTTAATAAAAAAAATAACAATAATGAAATTAATAGTGAATATAATAGTGAATTAGACGAAAATGAAATTTTGCAAGAAGCTGAATAATAAAATTTGGAAAATGTGGTAAAACTGGCATAATATTATTATTTAGATAATTTGAGTTGTTATGATATAATGTAATAATATAATATTATTATGTAAAGCAGTAAATAAAAATAATAATAAAATATCGCACTGTTCGTAGCAATTTTTTGTGCAATGTTACAGGCTGATTTAACGCACTGTTCTGTGTTGCCTTCACAGAATCATGTGATTTTACGCTGATCTGTGCTGACATAAAACAATGCACTGTTTCATGTGCACTTAATTTCCTGATGACACTCTATTGTAGAAGTATATGTAACGATTGAGTACTCTCCACAATTGATAATTATCATTACACAAGAAATATGTTTTATCGTTATTATTAGTACCTGCGATTGGTAATTATCGTTACATAAAAAATTCTTATTGCTAATTATCGGTAATTATTAGTATTATAGGTAACTATTGATAATTATCATTACACAAAAAATATGCTTCACCATTACAAGAAATTCTACTTTGTCGTTACAAGAAACTCTACTTCATCGTTACAAGAAATTTCGTCACGTGCCTCGTGGAGATACAACAAAATTATAACGTTATGCGGCCATCGTTACCACAAAGTCGTCGAAGTCACGTGCTCTTTGAGCAGTGGGTTTTGCCAGCCAAGGGCTCTCTGACTGTTTTTTTGGTGACTGCGAAACTATGAACTGACAGTCTTGCCCTACCCTACGGGTACGAAGTAGATTCGTGAAGCGAATCCCGAAGGGATTCCATCTACCCATAAAACCAATGTTTTACTTCTTCGAAGGTCCTACGGACTAATTCGAGAGGTTATAGGAGATCCGCTCCTATGGGTACTACGTAGAACTGGAATGACCTTAGTATCACATTTCCTAAAACCTTTGCAGAGGAAGTTCCCTTTGGGGGTAACGATGTCAACACAATAAACGTATAAACTGTTTTTTGTTACAATACAGTACATAAATAACTTTGGGCTTCAGGTAATGATGTTCGCATATGTTTAGTTCAATGAAGAGTATATTGGTTGGTAACCATGCTTCGCAATGGTCCTAATCCCGAAGGGAGGAATAACGTGAGCGAAGGTAATACACCTTTAACATGTGAAAACCAAAATGAAATTCCTGTCCACTAGTAATCGATTTCACATGGTTACCAAAATGATACCCCCCTCAGAGAAGACACGATGAACGTATATTCTCTCTTGTTACCGTGGTCATGTGAGAAAATTTCTGGGAGGTCATCTTAGAAATCACGTGACTTAGACGACTTCTAGTCGTCGAAATTTTTTTAGTGGACAACAGGAGCACACTACATCGTTACAAAAATACCTGCGTATCTGTTGTTCACGCTGTTATTCCCTGTTGTCATTCAGAAGCATACACGGCATACACTATATTATTGGTATAACAAATATTCGTATCCTGTTATCTACTAATATTTCCATCATTTTACAAGACAATAACGCAGAACATTGTAACACAATTTATGTTAACTAAATAAATCTGTATGATTTTTGCTCTTTAAGCCTATGAACGTAGGTTCCTAGAACCTCCTCTGGAACACATTACTTCGTACTATCCGGATTCGCAAATCTTTTACCGTAGAGGATTAATAGACCAATTGTATACCAATTAATCTCCAGTCCATGTAATGGGACGGCTGTGCCGGGCTAAAGCCCCTTCCAAGGGAAGTGAGCTCCGCTCAGTTACACTGATTTTTTGAGGAACGAGGGGCTTGGCGTAGCCTTTTGAAGAAATAGCCTGAGCGTCTTGCCCTAGGAACCTAGGTTCCTACCTGAAAGGTACGAAGTAGAACCTCCTCTGTTAACAGCGTGGTTGAGCAGCAAGACGGTCATTCAATTACGTAGATGATTAAATAGACAAATGTAGGCAAAAAAAATCTCCAGTCCATGTAATGGACGGCTGTGCCGGGCTAAAGCCCCTTCCAAGGGAAGTGATTTTTTGAGGAACGAGGAAGAGGGGCTTGGCGTAGCCTTTCGAAGAAATAGCCCATTCCATGAAAATAATGGAGTGAAAATAATGGAGGAGCAAAGCGAAAAAAATTATACAGGAAATCACGTGACTTTGGGCGACTTCTGGTCGTTGAAATTTTTAGTGGACAACAGTTTCCTACTAGGCTATGCCTACAAGGTGAGCGTGCTCAGTTTCATATCAACCATATGAATATTATTCTCTATTGCAGAAACTAGGGTAACATCCCACATTCACTTACTGAAACATGAGTTGACGATTGCGGATGCCAGTGACGTATTACTGCGCATAGTATATTTAGTGAACAATGAGTATTACTGCGGAAAAGTATAGATGAGGTTTTACTGTGCAAAATATCATGTGCTCTTCGAACAGTCTCCGACTGATTTTCCTGACCTGAGGTCAGCGAAATCTAATTTTTCATGTAACGATATTACCAATAATACCAATTACAAAGTAGACAACCAATTACCGATAATTATTAATTGCAGAGGAAAAGGCTAGCTAAGTTTACTTCGATGCAGTCTCCTGGTCACCATATAGAGACCGCAGTGGGTAACTATTAACCCAGATAATAGAACTATGGGAGATGATTTATGTTTGGGTTATGCATTGGGTTTATACTTTCTCCTGTTACAATGTAGCGAAAATGTGATAACACCAATACTAAATTCATTGATCGTTACAAAAAATATACTTCATCGTTAAAAAATAGTGAATCAGCAACTACTGCGGAAAAGATTATTAGTAGACGACAGGAGGAATAACATGGGCACAAATGCAGGACAGACTATGAGTGTTCTGGCAGAGGGTTGAGCGGCAATCGTAAAACCACCTGCAGGCTACTCCCAATTAAATTCGTCCTTTGTTTCACTGTGAAAAAAACTGGTAAATGTAATTGTCTTGCCCACAAAGTGAAGGAATGTACTAGTAATAATTTGAAGAATAACTTATTGCAGTATAGTCCTTTATGCCATATTCTCATTTATTTGTTCATATAGGTAATTCCCGAAGAATGAGGAGTACGAGGATAGTGACTCCTCCAGCGAGTATGATAACGCTCCTTTTCCTACTAGGTGGTATTCCGCAAATAGAGGCTTTCTTTGTTATAGAGAGAACTCTAAGAGTATTGAAGTTGAGTTTTTTGATGGTTTTACTCATTGGATAGGCTCAAAAAATGAGTTCTCAGATTTGTCTCGTGATTGGTTTTTCATTCATGTGGACAAGAATGAAACGTTAAAAGAGGCACATAAAAGGTACACTAATGAATCAATCGCAATTTCGCAAAAAAGTCATGGTCTTATCGATATGCGAAAAATAGGTACTTATGCAGCCACTTCTTTACATTTATTTCATGATGTTACTAAAGGGTTGGTTATTAGCAAAAGGTTGTCCCAAGAAGAAGAACATTGGATCTCAAAAGCGTCTATTGGTTCGATAATATGGGCAGAGCCGTATGAAGGTAATGCAAAACAATATGATGTTAACGAGTTTTACCCTTCAGTTTTGCTACAAAAGGAAGCAAAATGGCCAACTTGTCTATATATGCAAGGGGAATGTGACCAGCTGTACACGAGCTCATTTATTCATATGTGTTGCGTCCTTTATGAATATTTTTTTACAATGAGTGATCTTATTTCTTCAAATAATGTTAATCACTAACTTGTTCAGTCTGAACATTAATAATATGCCTAATAACTAGCTGGCTACTCTCTTCGCTAAAGATTAAAACAAATCTTGAATGATAAAACCGCAGGTGCTAAGGACACTCTTCACGCATTCGCATTCTGGTGCTAGTTACAATTTCTCTCTGTATAGTATAGTTATGCAAGACGTAGCATTCGTCTCTGTTTTATTTTTGTTAGCCCTAGTGTGCATGCTTCTGTTATGGATCATATTTTCGTACCGACAAGAGTATGTGATAAAAAATGCCCGGTATGTCAAATCAGACATAGATAATCAATGGTATCGTGTCCATCTCACCCATTCAAACCCTAAAGAGGCGGCCAACACATTAGCCTTGCTAAATCACCGGATCAAAATACTCCTAATAGACCTCCAGGGGAAGTATAGCAAAGCACCCGAGTTCTCATCCCGAGGTGAAACACGCAAAAAAGTGATACAACGGATAGTAGAGAGATACGATTGGAGAAACCTAGTAGAGAATTCCCCGTTAAACCCGGACAGGGACACAAGCTACACCTTGGACAAGGGGGCAGAGATAGCACTATGCCTAAGACATGCTTCCCCTCCATCTAAGGTCGAAGAAATACATAACTTGAACACGCTAACGTTCGTCGCACTGCACGAACTAGCCCACCTTGGCATAGAAGAGACAGGGCATCCACTAGTATTCATGAGGACCTTCCAGTTTTTGTTGGAGTTGGCAGAGGAGGCCGGTATATACAAAAGCCCAGACTACTACAACCACCCCAAGGAATACTGCGGAATAGTAATAACGTACAATCCACGGTGGGACGAAAACGTAGTACCGATATGAGGGAGCCTACCTACCACCTGTTTAGTTCTATGCCTCACAAATGGATAGTAGGTGCTTCAGGAGACTACTACGTCCACTAATGACACATTGCTTTGCAATACCCGGAGGTCCACTTATACCTGTCTGAGCGGACAACTTGAAATAATGTATGTGTCTTTTTTCCTCGGCTAAAATCCTGTGAATAAAATTAGTGGACAACAGTATCTCACTAGGTAATACCGCAGCTGTCTACGTTATCCCTCGTTGTCCACTTATAATCCATTCCGCAGCCCAAAAATAACAAGATGCTTATATATGCACTCATCCTCATGTCAACGAGTCTCCTGCGAGACTCATTTTTGGCTGGGGCCCTAACGAAATTACAGAACGGACTGAACTGTAAAAATTTGGTAACGATGAAGTACACACTTTCTTTACTTCGTAGCTCAGTTTCACTAGGCAATGCCTACTTCGTAAAATTTCAACGACCAGAACTAGTCTTTAGACCTTCCTTCGGAAGTGAACCTAGGTTCCTAGGACTCCTATGTAAAGAGCGTACCCTATGGGTAGTTTTACTGGTTTCTGCAATAGAATATAATATCCGTATAGTGATAGTGAACAACGGGGTTGTCTGAGCGTTCAAATTTGGAATGGTGTCTTCACAGGGGAATAACGTAGATAGCTACGTAAATGATTATTAGTGGACAACAGGAGGAATAACGTAGACCATTCGGGAATACCTGGAGGGGTTCCATTGTTCCTAATATAACAGCATTATCAACTAATATATACACCTACACCAATGTATGTAATTGTTAGTAGGCGACTTGTAGAAGATGACGTACAATGAGGATATCTACTGCAGAGATACAGTGACAATAGTTACATATTGATTTGCAATGCCCTCTACGTAGTACCCTCTGGGTAGAACTTCCTATTCACATAAGAATGCCATTTACTGTGAATGATGAACAACAAAAAAATTATACTGTTTTTGACTTATCAGTCAATGTGTCCATTTTTCTTTAGAAACGTAGTCCATTCCACAGTAGACTGAGTGGCAAGAGCCCTTGGCTGGGTGAAACGAAACCCACGGTCAGTTCATACTAACGCAGCTACATCATCACGCTCACGTGAGCAACATGGGGAATATCTGTTTTATGTAATGATAATTATCAATAATTGCCTATTGCAGAGTACTAATAATAACGATAAAGTATATTTTTTGTGAAATGATAATTATCAAAGACTATGTTCTTCTCCATGTTCACTTCTACCTATTAATATCCACCGTCAATAACTGCAGTTGATGTCTATGGGTACTGCCCAAAGGGGCACAAACATTATCAATTACGTAGATAATTGTTCGTTACCAATTTTTACCGATATTACCAATAATACTAATAATTGCGAAGTAGACAACTAATACACTCTAATGTAGAAGTATATGTAACGATTGTGTACTCTCCGCTATTGATAATTATCATTACACAAAAAGTTGTAATCCTATAATGCCTATGTTATCTTCTATGTAGTTTATTGCTGGTAACGATGTTTCTTTTGTTGGTAGCGATTGTTATCTTACCAGTATTGTGTAACAATCATCAATGGAAATTCTGGGCTATGCCCACGAAGTGATTATCATTACAAAATTTTGCAATAACGAACAAATGAGTACTACGAAGTACTACAAGGGTATTGCGAATCAATTAAGTAACTATTGCTACTGTGCCTCTACAGTAGATATCCGTTGTAGAAAAATATATGTGGTCATTGTTAGTGGACAACAGGGGAATAATGTGAGCGAAGGTAAATGATCTCCCGTAGGGAGGGATAGTGTAGGCAACATGGGTCAGAAATCATGTGTCTTAGGAGAATAACGTGAGCTCCAATGCCATGTCATGATGTTCATGCTATCTTCCCCATATCATGTCAGCCATCTCCCGAAGGGAGGGTACAATGCAGTATATGATATCATTTCTAAGAGTTTTTCCTAACATAGCTACATCATTTCCAACAAATATATGCATGTAACAAAATATACTGCGTATAACGAATATGTCCTGTGTACTATTATTACCGAACAGGCAACGTTGTTCATGTATTTTCTACAATGGTGTACGTATAAGTTGACCCGGGTTACTATAGATAAATAACAGTGTCAAACTGTAGTGAAAATCATGATAACACCACTACTAAATTCATTAATCGTTACAAAAAAAGATACTGCATCGTAATATGACGCATACTGTAATAAACAAAATGAATACCGTTACATTTCTACGTAGTACCAAGAAAGTAGGGCAAGAGCTCATGTGGAAATGATTACTAGTGGACAACAGGGAAATAACATGAGCGACTGTGGGAGAAGAACGTAGACAGATTGAAAAAAAATAAATCAGCGTCACGTGACTGAAATTTCTTGTAACGATGGAGTAGAGTTTCTTGTAACGACAAAGTAGAATTTCTTGTAATGATGAAGCATATTTTTGTGTAATGATAATACCAGCGGAACTGGGCTCCGCCCAATAATTACCAATTGCGAAGTAGAAACCGACAATTACCATAAAGGGAATAACGTTTCTGATACAGAAATAGTGTAGGTCAGTCTTAGTATAGAAAATTCGTTATGTATTATGGGCAAAGTCCTGAACCTTTGTATTTATTTTTGGCAAAAGTAATCGGCGTGACAAATGGTCAAGCTCACGTGTTTTTTTAGTGGACAACAGGAAGAATAATGTAGACGACTGCGGGAGAAGAATGTGGACAACAGGGGAATAACGTGGGTGAAGGTAACACACAGTGGAATGATCTCCCTTCAGCGTAGGCAACACAGGTCAGAGAAATCACGTGACTTTGATGACTTCTGGTCGTTGAAATTTTTACAGATCATACCGTTCTGTAATTTCCGGGATGGGCTGTCTCAGAAATCACGTAACTTTGAGCGACTGCAGAAGAATAACGTGAGCGACTGTGGGAGAAGAACGTAGACAGATTAGATTGGGAAAAAAAATAAATCACGTGACACTTGACTGAAATTTCTTGTAACGATGAAGTAGAGTTTCTTGCAACAATGAAGCATATATTTGTATAACGATAATACTAATAATTACAAATTGCGAAGCAGATACTGATAATTACCAATAAGTATTTTGTGTTTCTAATCCATGAAATTACCTGAAGGGCGCTAAAAGCGTAAAGGATGGAAACTACGTAGTACCCATAGGAGCGGATCTCCTATAACCTCTCGAATTACTCCGTAGGACCTTCAAAGAAGTAAAACATTTGGGTTTATGGGGTGGGCAAGACGCTCAGCTCAAAGTCCTGTGACTAGCTATTACATATTTTTGTAATGATGTTTACTTGGTTTCTGCAATAGAGTATAATATCGTATAGTGATAGTGGTCAACACAGAGAAGAAAATTTACTTTGCACATTTGGTGGTCCCTTCAGAACTGGGCAATGCCTAATAGGTGGTGCCATAGTCCACGCAATCTTTTTCGTGACATGACAGCCATCTCCCAACTTGCCTGCGTTTTCATTACACTTCCTTCTTGGAGCCGTGATCATCCTTCAGAATCACATGATACTAGTGATAATGATAGGCAGTGATGACATTAGTGACTGCGGAAATGATTATTAGTGGATGACAAGGGAGAATAACGTGATAGATGGTGACACTGGTTAATACTAGTACGTTACATATTGTTATCCTCCCCTCCAAATTTGTGAGTCCTGCAATACTCCGATAACAGCATCCAGTATAACGATGTTCGCTGCTCTTTGAGCAGTCTCCGACTAATTTTCTACAGTATGTATCTGTTGAACAAAACTATTGCGTTTTTTTGTAACGATATCGACCATGTCTCTGTGGGTGAATGTGGTCACCTGCAAGGGACAGCAATGGACAAGCGGAAATAGACTGAACTGTAAAAATTACGACCAGGTGTCGTCCAAGTCACGTGATGTTTGTATAATGAATACTAATTCCGTAGGATAACGTAGGCAACAGCGGAACCTCATCGTTACCAAATTTTTACAGTTCAGTCCGTTCTGTAATTTCGTCAGGGGCCCTGTCAAAAATGAGTCTCTCCGCAGGAGAGTATTAACAGAAGGATGGGGATGTATTTTTCTACAATGGTGTACGTATGAATTTTGTAACGATGCTCATTAACAGTGAATGTATAAATCTTAGATAACGATGTCCATGTAGCAGATGATTCTTCGCTGTTGTCTACTCGTCACTCTATATTGACCAGGTGCTAAAGCATAAGTGGACAACAGGGGGGTAGCGTGAGCTCCTGTATTACGAAACAATGTACAAAAAAATTATACAGAAAAATCACATGACTTTGGCAACATCTGGTCGTTGAAATTTTTACAGATCATACCGTTCTGTAATTTCCCTAGATTCCATCTAGAACTGGTAAGACTAAGAACTACGTTCTTAGAGGATTGTTTCCATCGTTTACCAGACAATAACGTAGAACATTGTAACACAATTTATGTTAACTAAGTAAATCTGTATGATTTTGAGCAAAGCGAAAAATTATACAGGGAAATCACGTGACTTTGAGCGACTGCAGAAGAATAACGTAGACGTGCCCATGTGGTCGTGAGAAGTCTGAGCCCGCCACGTATTGTTGTCTGCTTATCCGAAGTTGTGAATTGTATGACCATTTTTTTCACACCCACACCTTTAACTTGTAAAGTGGATCAATATTCTTTTCACAATTCGAATATGTGCCCTTGGGCTATCTCCGACTGAATTGTATGACCATTTATTTCACAGGGGAGATACTGGACAGCTGCGATTGATTATTAGTGGACTACGGTATCCTACTAGGCTATGCCATATTAATAATATTACAATGTAACGATGTTCACGTATTTTCTACAGCATATGTAAGTTGAACAAAGCTAAGGGAAGAAAGCTACTCAGTAATGGAATATAGGGAATCGACTACATTAGAAATAGCAACCAAGATTATGTATTATTGCTATCAACCAGGCCTTATAACAATCGTTAGATTGCTGGGTTAACCAATAGAAAAATACGTGAACAAATAACGTGGATGACTGCAAAAAAATAATGTGAATGACTGTGCCGCAGAATGCCCGGAGGGCCCTGTCTACTTGGGAATCATCTCTTTCATTATTATATGCACGAATAGCCATGTCTATATTTTTTCTACAATGGTAGAATTAATTCATGTGACACTCTGAACAAATGCGCAGAGTATCATGTAACCATGACGTAGATAGGATACGTAGATAGTGCCCTCAGGGCATTCTGCGGAGGAATGACGTAGACTAGCTGCGGAAATGATTATTAGTAACGGACTGAACTGAAAAAATTTCGCTGAGGCTATTTTACTTCATCGTTACAAAAATATACGTATGTTCAACCGACATATACTGTAGAAAAATACCACCGTTACCAACAGAGGAATAACTGTTCTTTGCCGCTGTCTACTCATTCTTCTCTGTAGTTTGACCATCTTGCTGCTCAACCACGCTCATTACATAGGAGGTTCCAGGAACCTGGGTTCCTAGGGCTAATATCTTGTATCCCATAATACCTATGTTATCTTCTATGTAGTTTATTGCTGGTAACGATGTTACTTTTTGTTAGTAAAGATTGTTATCCTCTTACCAGTGTTGTGTAACAATCATCAATGGAAATTGTAACTATCATACCGTGGATAACTAGTAAAGAATTCAGCAGGCATGTGTAATTGGTATAGATAACAAGCAGTATATAACGTAGACAGTTGCGGAATGGATTATTAGTGGACTACGGGAGGAATAACATTAGGAACACATTACTTCGCAATGCCATGACCGTGGGCCTTGTTCTGGTCGTCTTGCTGACCAACCACGTTTATTTTTCTTCGACATAATCTTTTATGTAGTTTATTAATGATAACGATGTTACTTTTTGTTAATATCATGGTCCAATGAAGTGCATATTCGAATTGTGAAGAAATCTGTTTTACGCATCACAAGTTAAAGTTGAGAAAAATATCGATCCATTTCACAACTTAGAAGAAGTGCTATTCTTCCGCATGACCATCTTGTCGCTCAACCAAACTCTTTACATAGGAGGCCCTAGGAACCTAGGTTCATATCCGTAGTAACCCAAAAACATCACGTGCCTGCCCCTCCGCAATTGGCAATTATCATTACACAAAAATCTACTTATTGGTAATTATCGGTAATTAGTTCTCTATTTTACAATTGGCAATTATTGGATCGACTGCCGTATTGTAAGAAAAACAGTATATGTATATGAGTGTTATCGACAAAAGGGGGAAAACGTGACATCGATACCTGTGGGTCCCATGTGGGCATTGCCTGGAGGGTACCCGTACACATACCTGTCCTGAGTGGAGACTGTGCTCTTCGACTGAATAATAACCCTAGAAACTACATTTCTATGCAGACAGCAGCGATGAACAGACTTATATTCTCTGTTTTAATGTCCACCAATTATCTACTCCGCAGTCGACCGCTAATATTCTACGCAGCATCTACTCATATTGTCCACGTTTTCTCCCATGTTGTCCACTAGTAATCGATTTCACTTCTTTGAAGGTCCTACGGACTAGTCAAAGTCACGGGACTCTTCGCACAATATGAGCGGACGACAGGAGGAATAACGTAGACGCTAACATAGTACACACTCGAATATTTATTAGTATTACGTAACATATGTACAAAAAAATTATCCCAGGTTGTCTAGTAGCGTGGTACACACTCTAGTAAAATACTAATTTGCCACATATGCGTTTTACCTAGTGTAATTACGAACCTACATAAATGATTTTATGTAAAATTCTGCTGCGTCATAGTCGTTGTATTCAGATTCAGAATCTGTACAACTTTCTGTTTCAGTTTCTGAGGAACTATCCGAACTACTATCACTACTGAGTGTGTCACCCTTCCATCGGTTAGATTCTCTCATTGTCACGGGTATGCTCGTGAACGCTGGAATATCCCTCAAGGTATGAGGGTCTGAACACCGACTATCATCTGCGTCTATGTCCGATTCATTTTTGATGAGAAGCAGGTCATTTGGCGTGGCTGAGACATTTACCTCATTTTTCGGAGATGTATTGTTCTGAACACTATCGAAGATTTTTGAGGCAATATTTTCTGGCAAGGGTTTTCCGGGACGGGCTGTCTCAGAAATTTCGGTCACGTGATCTATCTTTTCTGATTCGTTTTTGATGAGAAACAGGTCATTTGGTGTGGCTGAGATATTCACCCCGTTTTTCGAATATACGTTGTTCTGAACACCATCGAAGTTTTCTGAGGTCATATTTTCAGACAAGGATTTTCCGGGACGGGCCGTCTCAGAAATTTCGGTCGCATGATCATTTGTTACCAGAGGTAACTTTTCTAAAGTTATTCCATAATCTATAACCTCTTGAATTTGTTCATTAGTAAGCTCGGAAATAGAATTTGCACTATATGATTTAATATACTTGATTTTATCCATACCCACTTTTCCGAACAATCTATAGATTTTTTCAGCTCTCTGAGTCTTCTTACGCAAGCTATCCCGTGATATGTATCGGAGTTGCAATCCTAATTCTTGGGATCTTTGTTTGCGAAGCAAATTAAGTTGTTTTGTAATGGAATCATATAGTAAGCTCCTTGCCTTCTTTTCACCAAACTTATCTTTACTGATAATCTCGTCAAGCTGAACTCTGAAATCCTTCCAGTAAAGGCACCAACATAAAATTTCTTCCTGATTAGCTCGATTCGCTCTTTCTTCAGCATCGATAGCTTTATCACATAATTGGGCTAAATGCTGTGAGGCTTCATCAATGCTGTCATAGGTAACTTTTCCGGGACAGGCCGTCTCGGAAACTTCAGTCACATTATTATGGTTTATCGAAGATGACTCTGGTTCTGAAAAGGGTTTGAATAATTCGTGTTTGAGTTCATCAATCCCTTATTTCTTGTGCGATCTATTGCATGGTTGAATGACCATGTTGAGCTCTTGAGGCATTTTCTCTTCGGAATGTGTTGGAATGAACTCTTGGGTTTGAGTGGACCTAGGAACATGGGTTCCTATAACCTCCTTATGTAATGAGCGTGGTTGAGCAGCATTAGGAACACATTTACTAAGACCTTTAGAGGAAGTTCTACCCAGAGGGTACGAAGTAAAAACATAGGTTTCTAGAACAAGACGCTCAGGCTGCTATTCTAATTTCGCAACTCTGATTTTGAGAGCAGCATTCTCTGCGATAAGGTTATAGGTATCAACTTTATTTCTTATCTCCAGTTCTTCGAATCTGGATCTGAGCTCAGCAATTTCTTCTATGACATGTTTTAACTTCGTATTCTCAGCTTTGATCTTAGCATACTCATTCCTAAGGTCGGTAATCTCGATTAAGAGTCTGGAATTTAACTCTTTCAACGATTCCATCAAATGTGAGTTTTGAGAGTAGTGTGTCAATTAACAGCAGAAAAGTTCAATAGTCAACGATTTGTAAAGTGGCCCATAGGGTCCATTGTCCACTAATGATCAATGCTGTCGATACCTAAGGGATACTAGTAATTATTCCTGGCCATTTTCACACATTCGCCATTCCAAATAAATTATCACCGTATGTTAGCATAATAAGTGGACAGCGAGAGGAACAACGTGCGTGACTATGAGAAAATAACGTGAGCGACTGCGGGAGAATATTGTAGACAGCTGCGCTGCAGGGAGACTGAACTGTAAAAATTTTGCCAAGAAATTTGGGCGATCAATGTTCGTCGAAAATCACGTGACTTTGGCGACTTCGGGTCGTTGAAATTTTTACAGATCATACCGTTCTGTAATTTCCCTAGATTCCATCCTTCATAATTTCCCTCGTTCCTCGAAAAATATGAAGATTTTTTGTACACATTTCTTTTATTAGTCTTTTACGTAATTGATAAGGTAAGTAAATAGTAAAAAATGAACACAGAGCGTGGTTGAGCGGCAAGACGTCATAGAACTGGTAAGAACAAGAACTACGTTCTTAGAGAATTGCTTCCATCCTTTACCAGACAATAACGTAGAATATTGTAACACAATTTATGTTAACCAAATAAATCTGTATGGTTTTGCTCTTCGAGCCTATGAACCTAGGTTCCTAGAACGTCCTCTGGAACACATTACTTCGTACGCAAATTTCTTACTGTAGAGGATTAATAGACCAATTGTATACCAATTAATCTCCAGTCCATGTAATGGACCTTCCAAAGGAAGTGATTTTTCGAGGAACGAGGAAAATAATGGAGGAGCAAAGCGAAAAATTATACAGGGAAATCATGTGCTCTGTGAGCAGTCTTCGACTGGCTTTAATAACTCCCTGTCGCTGAAAACTTTGCCAGTATTGAGATTCAGCCTGTAGGAAATGCCTGGAGGAGTTCCACTGTTCCTAATGTTATTCCTCCCGTTGTCCACTCATATTCTAAGACGCAGTCGTTTATGTTATTCCTTCTGCATGAGCGTCTTATCGCTCAACTAGTAGAACCACCCGCAGGGTGCGCTCATGGCATTGCAAAGCAATGTGTTCCTAATGTTATTCCCTGTCATTTTTTTGTAATGATATTCATACTTAATTTGTTCATTACAGTATGTGTCAAGTTACGATGCAGAATATATGTTTTGTAACGATTAATGAATTTAGCAGAAGTGTTATCCCAATTTTCGCTACAGTGTAACAGGAGAAAGTATAAATCCAATGCATAACCCAAACATAAATCATCTCCCGTAGTTCTATTATCTGGGTTAATGGTTACCCACTGCAGTCTCTCGCAGGTGACCACATTCACTTACAGAAGCATGAGTTGATATTGTTACAAAAAATGCGAAAGTTGTGTCCAACAGACACATACAGTGGTGAACATAATTTTTTGGGCAGAGCCATTAGGAACACATTACGAAGTAATGCCCTCCAGGCATTTCCTAAGACCTTTGAGCCTATGAACCTAGGTTCCTAGAACCTCCTCCTCTATAATTTTCCTCGTTCCTCGAAAAATCATAGAGATTTTTCTGCATACATTTGTCTATTATTCACCTACGTAATTGATACTGTTTGTGTATAGTAAAAAATCTATAACCAATGAACGTGTACATTCTTTCTAGGACGAAGCCCTAGTCATTCCAGTTCTAGATGGAATCTAGGGCAAGACAGTCAGAAAATGGAAGAGGCGAAATACGTAAAAAATGCATAAAAAATTGTCTAATATGGTCATTCGTCATTCCAAATAATTTTGCTCTTTGAGCAGTCTCTGACTGATCACCACCGTACTGTAGAAAATTACGTGACATCATTACACTGTAGTGATGCACAATATAGTCATGTGAAAACTAGCAACGTGAGTAGAATTTATTCATGAGACACTCGGAGCCTCGTTACTGCGCATTGCCCTGTTCCAACATCTATAGCAGATATTTTGTATATTATTACATTGATTGCCTCTTCCGAAGAGGAGAATAATGTAGAAGGCTGCGGCATATCCCAGTGGGATTCCGTAGTCCACTAATAATCAATCCCGTAGTCGACCCATTGCCCATGTTATCTCCCACATGTCACCACTAATTTAGAGTATGAGTGGAATAACATGGGTGAATGTGGGCGCAGGCGGGATACTATCAGAAGCACATAATATAGGACCCTCAGGTATCGATGTCACATGAATGATGTTGTCCACTAATAATCTGTCCCGCAATCACGCCCACGTTATTCTGCCGCAGTCACTTACCGTTATTCACATGAGTAAATGCTACGTCATGGTCAGTCGAGACCACCAAAGGGGGCACATGATACTCTGTACATTTGTTCAGTGTGTCACATGAATAGTGTCACATGAATAGTGTTACATGAATAGTGTCACATAAATAGTATCACATGAAGCAAAGTATCACATTGTTTATTTTCACGTGACTTTGAGCGACTACTGGTCGTTGAAATTTTTACAAATCATACCGTTCTCTAATTTCTGAGACGGGCCATCTCGGAAATCACGTGACTTTGAGCGACTGCAGAAGAATAACATAGACGTGGAAAGCATCTCCCTTCGGGAGAGATAACGTAGGCAACACAGGTCAGTCAAAGACTGCTCGAAGAGCAAAATGAAACTCCCCTCAGAGGAGACTTCATATATTATGTTAGCATAATAAGTGGACAACGGGGGAATAACGGCATTCACGTGACACTACACATTGCGAAGAAATAGTTACATATACTTCTACAATAGAGTGTATTAGTTGGTAACGATTATTATATTACTGGTAACAGTAGATATTACATTAGGAACAGTGGAACTCCTCCAGGCAATTCAGTCGATGTGCACTCATCGTTACCAGAATTACTTACTGAAACATGGGTTGACATCATTACAAAATACGTAATAGTTATATTCAACTGAGATACACTATGGAAAATACTGGACATTGTAATGCGAACATGGTTACCAGTGGAATGGGCGAAGCCCACACTCATAGCATTGCGAAGCAATGTGTTCCTAATGCAGTAGACTAGGTTATTCCTGTTGCCCACTAACACTCAATCCTGCAGTAACGATGTCAGCCCATGTTTCATTAATTGAATGTGGTAACGATGTCCAGGAATGACGTGGGCGAAGGTGACATTAGGAAGTAATTATTAGCCAATCCGGCTGTAGATAACAGTTGCCTATTGTTGTTAACGATGTCCACATAACGTATATAATTGTTGTTGTATGCGAAGTAATCTTCACGAGACACGAGACTGGGCTTTGCCCACAAAGTGAAATTTCTTGTAACGATGAAGTACATAATCGATGTCTGTGGGCGGAGTAGGAAATTAGTAGACCTAGGAACTGAGCGGCAAGAGTAGGTCCACCCAAAGGGTGTGCTCATGGTAATGATAAGTACATAAATTCCGTTACCATCAATACAAATTAGTTAGTAACGATTAGAGTATATTCCATCCACATGAGCGTAGACTTCGCCCAGTGGAACGGTCGCAGGCATATGGTCATATACATATCCACAATATATAAATATTTGTTATCCCGTTGAACTAAACATACATGAACATCGTTACATTAGAAACACATTGCTTCGCAGTGGCATTGCCTATACAAAAATGGTAACTATAATCATGGTTACCAACCAATATACGCTTCATTGAACTAAATATATGCGGAAAACGTTACCAAAGTTATTTATATACTGTATTGTAACAAAAACAGTATATGTATATGAGTGTTATCGACAACAGGGGAAAAACATGGACGACAGGAGGAATAACATAGACAGTGGCGGAGAAGAATATGAGGAAACTGACTACGGAAGTAGTTATAAAATAGGCGTTTTACGATCAAAAATAACAAATCGCCTTCATATGCTTACATATTATATGAAACACAAAATTACAGAACGGACTGGGCTATGCCCACGAAGTGAACTGTAAAAATTTCAACGACCCGAAGTCGCCAAAGTCACGTGACTAGCTATTCATATTTTTGTAACGATGACTATATTTTCTACAAGAGTGTATATATTGGTTGACCTGAAAAGTAATTACAGGCATAGCTTAGGCTCCGCCCAAAAAATGTAGCTGCAGTTACATTAGGAACGCATTGCAAAGCAGAATGCCTGGAGGGCACCCGTCCACATTTACTTGTCTGCATATACCTGTCATCAAGCTAACGTAGTACATACACACTCGAATATTTATTAGTATTACGTAACATATGTACAGGCATAGCGTGGGCTCCGCCCAAAAAATTATCCATGTTGTCCACTAATGCTCAAATCTGCATAGACAAGTAATTCACTAATTTTTTGTAACGATAAAGTCCCTTCAGCGCCCTCAGGAATTTTTTGTGTAATGAGAATTATCAATAGTTACCAATAATACCAGTGGAACTGGGCTCTGCCCAATAATTACCAAGTGCGAAGTAGAGAACTAATTACCGATAATTACCAATAAGTAGTTCTTTATGTAACGATAATTGCCAATTGCGGAGTACAAATAAGAACGATGAAGTAATTTTTGTGTAACTATAATGGTCAATAGCGGAGAGTATTCAATCGTTACATATACTTCCACAATAGAGTGAATTAGTTGGTAACGATCAATATATTACCGGTAACGATGAGTGCACTGGTTATTTATTCTTTGAAAAGCTAAGTACGTACCTCTTAGTTCATGATACATCGTTACAAAAAATACAATTTGTGTGAAAAACATTATCGGATAACTGTCACTGACATTATGCTGTATGTGACTACAGAGAAGATACGTGGTCATCGTTACCGCCTCTTCAAGGGATGTGAAAATCCGAATCATGTAACGGCATTATCAATTAATATGTACTATAACAATCGTTACCGTTGTCCACAGCGGAGGGAATAACGTGAGCGAAGGTAACACACAGTAGAATGATCTCCCGTAGGGAGTGATAGCGTAGGCACTCCTATAATTAGCTCCTGCGGAGGAATAACGTAGACGGCTGCAGAATAGATTATTAGTGGACAACGGTAATAAAAATTTCGCTGACCTCAGATCAGGAAAATCACGTGACTTTAAGCGACTTCTGGTCGTTGAAATTTTACAGTTCACTTCGTAGGCATAGCCCAGTCCGTTCTGTAATTTTGACCGGGCATATGCCAAAATGAAACTCCCCTCAGAGGGGACATTCATATAACGTGAGCTCCTGCAGAAGAATAATATGAGTGACTGCATTGCAGAATATAGGAGGAATGATGTATCTACTGCAGAATTGATTATTAGTGAACAATAATATGAACGACTGCAGAGGAATAACGTAGGCGTAATTGCAGAACAGATGATTAGTGGACAACAGCATTCATGTGACACTCTGAACAAATGTATAGAGTATCATGTGACCATGACGTATACAGGACGTAGATAGACATTCTGCGGAGGAAAACGTAGACAGCTGCGGAATAGATTATTAGTGGATAATGGGAGGAATGACGTGAGCGACTGCGAGAGCTACTGCGGGAGTTACTGCGGAAATGATTAGGAGTGGACAACAGGGAGGGAATAACGTAGACGGTTGCAGTACAGATTAAGTGGCGTCCCACCAAAATGAAACTCCCCATTTTGCCAAGAAATTTGGGCGACCTGTGGTCACTGAAATCACGTGACTTTGGGTGACTTCGGGTCGTTGAAATTTTTTAGTGGACAACAGGAAGAATAACATAGACGACTGCGGGAGAAATAATGTGAGCAAAGGTAACACAGTAGAATAGAAGTGTCCCACCAAAATGAAACTCCCCTCAGAGGGGACTTTCATATAATATGTTAGCATAATAAGTGGACAGCGGGAGGAACAACGTGTGCGACTGCAGAAGAATAACGTGAGCGACTGCGGGAGAATACTGTAGACAGCTGTGCTGCATGTGCCCAGAGGGCACTGTCTACATGGGAAAACGGGTCGTCTGAGCACGTCACTTATTGTTATCTGCTTCTCCAACTTGGGGAAATATGTTTTTTTTCCTCCCCATTTCGTGCGATGTTTAACATGGGGAATAAAAAAATAAATTCTCCCCATTTCGTGCGATGATTAACATGGGGAATAAAAAAATAAATTCTCCCCAATTCGAATAACAACTAAGTTGGGGAATAAAAAAATAAATTCTCCCCCATTAAGTTGGGGAATAAAAAAATAATTTCTCCCCAGCTGAATTGGGGAAAAAAAAATTTCTGCGCCCATATTATTCTAAAGAATTGCTTATGTATTATCTGTAAGATAATACTTTATGATTTCCATTTGTTATATCAGGGCGCAGAAATTTTTTTTTCCCCAATTCAGCTGGGGAGAAATTATTTTTTTATTCCCCAACTTAATGGGGGAGAATTTATTTTTTTATTCCCCAACTTAGTTGTTATTCGAATTGGGGAGAATTTATTTTTTTATTCCCCATGTTAATCATCGCACGAAATGGGGAGAATTTATTTTTTTATTCCCCATGTTAAACATCGCACGAAATGGGGAGGAAAAAAAACATATTTCCCCAAGTTGGACATGAAGATCCAAGACTTATAATTCATTGTATTCAAAAAAAAATTAGAAAGCGTAAATGTAAATTGATGATTAGGTGGATGATCATTGGTTATGACATAAATTTTGATTTTAATCATTCAGATCTTAACGTTAAATTGAAAATCTTAAAAAATGATTTTAATTCATCAAATAATCAAGCTATAATTAAGCCATTAGATTTAGAATATGAATCTTCAGCTCTTTATTTTGGAATTCCTATATTAAATAATTTGGATGATTCAAATAATTCTCTTATAATTGGACATTACTTTTTTAATGATAATATAAACAAGAGAATCGGATCATATATATTTTCTTACTGTTCGAAAATAAATCATTATGTCAATTTATGTGATTTTACTTTTCATATATTTGTTATTTCAAATTATTATAATTGTGATAATTATGGAATCCCAACCTTTCAGAATACTAGTAAAATAAGAAAATTATTTAATTTTATTAAGTTTAATTCTTTAAAATTGACACCAAAATTTATTAGTATTTATTCTACGGGAGAAAACAAATGTTATCCAATTTTCCTGAAACAAAAAACTGACAAAATTAAAATTAAATACATTAATATTAATTGTAATCAAAATAATTGCATTTGTAAAAGCATAAGATTTAAAGAATTGGAAGTCAATTTAAAATATGCTTTCTTGGATCCAAAGGATTATTCGAATTAAGGTTTTTATTTATTTAAACAAAATAATTTAATATTTTATGAAAGAAAAAAAATTAATCACATATGAATAAGTTAACTCATTTGTAAGATATTATATATATAAATAAGTTCAAATTATTTATTCACTTTGTTTACTTAACGTATTTATTAAAATTTCAATATTTTGAATATAACATCATTTCATAGCAATTTTTTTATCATCTAAAATTTGATATTCTGTTTTGTGGTTCGTTTTCATTTAATAGAAAAGTATTTACATTAAGGAGTGTTAAAATCAGAAAATTTGTTATTATAAATTTTATTTCATTCATAAACATACTTGTAAATAACTAACAAAGAAATAAAGATTGAACCAAAAAAAAAATTTTTTGGTGCGTTACTTTTTTCTAAGACTGAAAATTTTGTATATACTGTATGTATATTTTTTATATTGCGAATTTATATATTGCATAATTACGTTCACTATAATATAATTTGTAAAAAAATGTAATGTATATATAAACTTTTATTCGGCATCACGTGACATTATGAATAATAATACGATTAACTCCGGCCGGAATTATTAATTTTCAATTTTTTTTATAGGACCGCAGTCCAGACTGCATCAAGATGAAGGTGAAAAGGAAGAAAAGGATTTAGTTTTTACAGCTATCGTCATTTTAATGATTTATGTTCAACACAACACCTTCAATTTAAGAAAATCTGTAGCATTAGATGGTTGAGCAGTAATGTAATAATCTGTACAATAATTGATCTCAAAGTTCCAGTCAACATTTTTTAGTTATTGTCATGATTAAAAATATACCATAATGCACTTTCAAACGAAAGTTTTTATTATCAGGAGATTCTACCATGTACACAATTTAAATGGCCGTCTAACTGCTACTTGCTGCAGATATTAATAATAACAAGCGATACAGGAATGTCTGAAAGGTGCTTTTTGAACAATTAGGAAGTGCAATTTCAATATTTTGATTGATAGCTTGTTATAACTTACAAGTAAGCATTAATTTATAGATCAAGTGAATGTAAGGGTTCAGGAAAATGAATATAAAATATTTTTAATTGAATATATAAGTGATATATAACTTCAGCCAGAATTAAGATTTTTATAATTCTGGCCAAAATTAAGATTTACCGCATCACGTTACTCAAAATTTATTGGTTAATGAACCCGTGTTCTGTTAATCGAATCATTGCTGGTTAGAAAATTGATCCGTTATAGCGAATATCGAGGTTTTACTAATAAACTCCGGTATATCGAAACTACTGTATTTTAATATACGTGATTTGGTTTCAGCAAAAAAGTCCGGTTTAGGCCCAAATCCGGTTTATTGAAGATCCGGTTTTATTTTTATAATATTCAACATTATATTTTCATTGCTGTTCGATAGAGGAGCTAATTGAAAAAAAAGTCTCGACAAGAATTGAATAAATATCGCACAAAGTAGGAAACCCCAGGTAACTAGGAAACTACAATTTAATGTTTACAGTGTTTTCATCTTTTTCTATAACCCTTTCAGATGTACTGCAATTTTATTGTAAAAAAATTATTGGACGTGAGTCAAATGCACAAAGTCCTATTTCAATGTGTCCTTCTTTATACACTTTATTCGGCAATGGTTCAAACGTCAATTTGAACATTTATACCATGATAATTTCAGTTTCATAATTTTGATATAAAATAATCTGGAAATAACTTTATAGGAACTTACGTAAGTTGAAGGAAATTTTTCCCCTATAAAAAAATTTCTTAGAAAATGATCACGTGTCTGAGTTTCTTCGAGTATTTTGCTACTCGAAACGATGAAACGACGAAACGTGTAATATAATATTTGATTCAGTAACTTAAATACCGAAAACGAACGTTGACTTTTATGTCCTAATAGTTTAAGCTGATTGAGATGGTAAAATCTCAAAGGTGGTTGGTGAATTCAAAAACAAACCCTAATAAAAAAAATTCTGGAAAAACTCCGATAAATGATCATTTTTCTAGTTTTTATTCAAAAAAAAAGTTTAAAATATGATAGGGTCATAGGGTCCCTTTTCGATGATTGAGTAAAAAAATCAGGGGTGCAGAACTGGTGCAGACAATTCAAAGGGTAATTATTTACCAATAGGAAATTTTTATAAAATCACAAAGACTGCTAGTAACACAGTTATTTCAACATCCAATTCCTAACCAAATATAGCGCTAACAATGATAAATAATAACAATTAATAAACTATCTGCTTCTTGTTATCTTGTAATTTTTTTTTTTTTTTTGGTCTTACTTTTTTTTTCTGTAAGAATATAAGTATTAATGGCTTGAATATGAGAACTTGATCGTACCATTATTTTCACTATGTTCTACTCTTGCTTCACCACCGGTGATCGCTGAGCCAATGATTATTATTATCGAGAATTTTGGATTAAGTCATGAAAAAATAGATATTTCGGGACAAAATGCTTACATAATAATACTAAATTCTAGTAAGTAATATTAGATCGTAATTACCAAAGCAGGTTGAAATTTTTTTTTTGTTGGGATTTTTGAGAGATTTCTTTTATTAATAACATTAATAACTAAATAATTGTTGATAATTAAAAAAATTATTATTTCACCTTTAAATAAAATAAAATAAAATAAATTTTTTAAAAAATTGATTATGACGAAATACATATAAATTAATGTACTATACACCCATTAACTGAAGAGGTCAAATTAAAATGTTATAGAAGAAATAATGATCCAAAAATCCTAAATGAAATGACGTAAGCAAGTTGATCATTTTATATCGGATGCAATGAAAGATGCTACGCTGAGAATAACTTATAAATTTAAATGTACATCTTAATGTTGTATATCATATTGATGAGATTGATCAGTCAAGTGATTGTAATAACAACAATTTTTCATTTTGGAACAAAATGAATCTTTTAAATGAAATCAAAATGTTTCGCAACCATTATTCCTAAATATTAAACTAGGTAATAAATTAGGTATTATCAGATCTAAGTTTATTTTAGAATGTATAAATATATCAAACAATGGTGTTACAATCAAAATGAATTTAAGCTAATTATAGATTATAAGCAAAATTTTGGGTGATCGTCCATCATTTTATTACTATCTTCAATTGACGTAAAAATGAGTAAATTTTAATAAAATTATGGGAAATTTTTAATGGTTTATAATTCATTTGCCAAATATTAATACGTAAATATTAAATCATCGTAGTTAAATAACACTTAACGATCACAATATAAAAAAAATAATTATACTAATAAAAAAATTATTTATTTATGGAACAAATTTTTTAAATAATAATTTACACCTTTTCATTTTAAATATTATTCTTTAAAGAAAATGAGAAAGTTGAAATCGAAACATTGTAATATTTGTTATAGCGATTCACCAAAATTCCCTTCTCCAATTACTTCAAAATGTACTCATAGTGTACTTGCTTGCACTAGTTGTTTTGAGAAGCATATCGAATCTCAAATTGAAAAAGGTATTTTACAAAATATTAAATGTTTACAATGTGACGAAATTTTGGATTATCACGATATTAAAAGAATCGTAAATAACGAACTCTTTCAGCGGTAAAACAAAAAAAAATTTTTTTCTTTTGCTTCTTTACTCTAAAGAGAATATATCAAAAGTTTTGTTTTTTTGGATATAAAACAGCTATGATGTCGCGCTTTTACGTCATACCCTCCGTCAGATGAAAGATTTTCGTTGGTGTAAAAGAACAAACTGCGGATGGGGTCAAATCCATAATGGTGGAGGTAATTTATATTACTTTTTTTTTTTTTTTTTATTTAACCTCCATCTGATAATTATTTAATGATAATTTTTTTTCAACAGATGACGCTCCAATTGTCACTTGTAAAGCGTGTGGGGCAAAATCTTGCTTCACTCATGATGTACCTTGGCATGAAGATTCGAGTTGTTCTAAATTCGCTGAACAACTTTTAAGAGATACTGCAGCGAATCAAGCTTATTATGATAGACATACAAAAAATTGTCCAAAATGTAAAATGCCTATTGAAAAAAATGATGGATGTGAACATATGACCTGTTTCTGTGGCTATGAGTTTTGCTGGCTGTGCGTTTATTAATTTTAACGTAATTGTTATTTAATTAAACAAGTTTATAGTTTAACCTTTTTTTTCCTCTCATTAGCTGCTTGGCAGATTATAATTTGATTAGAAATGAAGGAAATCATCGTCATGAAAGAACTTGTCAACATCATCATGATAACTTGAGCTCTATCGATCCATATGATGGAATGGTACCCAACGATTTTCGAGCATATGTTCTACCATCCTTTTCATCTTCAGAAGCGCCTGAAAGATCTTCAGAAAATGATGAAATTGTTAATGTCGCTGAAAGACTTAGAGTACAAATGATTTCTGGACGTTAAATATTACTTTGCAGGCATGTCGAATATAAATTTTCTTCTTTTCCTTTTTTTTATGTTATTTTTTTTATGAATTGTAACCGAGTGTTTATATTTTTGAATTTTACGAATTTGTAATTTATTTTTACTTTGAAATATAAATAAATGAGCCATTGTTAAGAAAAACTTGGTCGAGAAAATTTCTCTCGCTATTTACAAATATTCTCAATATCTTGAATTATGAGTAAATAAAGGCCAACCAATACTTAAAATTATTATGATTTATTTAAATAATTTTTTTTTTCTGAATACAGTCCTACTCGCTTTATAACGAAGAAAATCTGTTATAACTCGGGGAAATTTTTGTATATTGCGGTAAATTGTATAATATTTGTATTATGGATAACGCATGTCACACACGTTATATCAAATAAAAATTCGTTATGAACAAAATAATATACAGTATTTTATATACACTTACTTCGTTAAAAGGTATACAACATTTTACTGGTAATCTTAACAAGATTCTTTTTACATGATAAAATTCCGAAGATTCGCTATTAAGAAATTCATTAAATCAAAATTTGTTGTAAAGATTAGGAATTTTTTATGCCCTAAGAATGAAAAATCGTAAGGAATCATCTAAAATTCTTTGTTGTTTGAAAAATTAACTTGTGAACAATATGTTCCTTAAATTATTATCTTAAAAAATCATACCAGAATATTAATAAATAAGATGTTGGAGGCGCAGTAATAAAAAAACATAATTAAATAATAGGTTTAATTAATGATAAAAACAGTATTATTTATTACATACGTATAATATTTCTTAATTATTAACCACAGCTTCAATATCATGTGACCATACTTTATGAACCATTTATTCCAAATACAGTAATCTCGCATGAAGGTTTAGTATATAAGAGTATAAAAGTATTCAAATATTCTCGACAATAAGACAACGTAAAAATAAAAAATAAGGAAAAAATTGTCTCGATTATTCCTTGTTGCCTTTGCAATGTCCTCAATGCTAAATATTCCCGTAAAATCTTGTGACGAATGTTCAACCAAACAAGTTATAAACTTTAATTTCATTAATATTTCGTAAAAATTCTTCAATGTATGTTAGAAACGAGAATTTGTTATTAGACGTGGGTGTTAATTTCGTACATTGTTAATAAATTACTATTATTTTCTTAGATTGCAGAAACAGAAGTAAATGTCCCTGCCCGGGCTAAAGCTGTAGAGATGATATACCTTAAAACATAAAAAATGATTGTACAACTACGATATTTGCGAGTGAGTAAATAAGAGAGAGTAGCTAATGAAGTATAAGACACTTTCTTTACTTTCGCTATCTCTATTATTATTTAAATTTTTGTGAGGACAGCGAAGCAATATTATTTATGGATCCACATAACACTTTTAATAAGAAAAGCTTGAATATTTTATTAATATGTTTGGAAGATTATAGAACTCCGTCTATAACTTGTCGCGCGGTATCTGGGAACGTATTCAAGAAATCTCTTATTTCTTTTCTTAATCGCTTTTGATGATTAGTATTGGTGGCTTTGTTGGTGCGTTCAATTAACGATGACATTCTGTTATGGTACATGTTGTGAGGTTGCGTTTCTTGAGATTACGGTGTGTGTATATCTTTTTGTACTTGTTCCATGATAATTCGCAAGTTCTGCGACAACACGTTCTTTAGCGTCGCGTTCTCGACGCTGGTTTTCCAAGATCTTCAACTCGAAGTCTCTTTTAACTTTCTCTTGTTTGAAACGTTTTTCGTGAGTTGACATATATGTAAACCATCAGGTCTTACGAACCTCAAAAAGGCTATTTTATTAATTTGCAAAACGTATAGGCGTTCGATGATTTTGAGAATCTTCCGAATTTGCATATTAATTATCATTTGATACATGAATAGGTAATGTACATATTTCACTGTGGGCATTTTGATCTGGATTTCGTATGTCTTTTAAATTTTTTTTTTTTTTTTGGCAATTCCATATTAATCCTTTGTCGACTATTAAACATTTTGTATTTGTTGCAGAAGGTGTAGGTCATTATCAAGGTTATCAAAGAAATTTTTTTAACCCCTTATAGGAGGTCTTATGGATGGAAAGAACAGCCCTTAATGTTTCAAAAAATATATATATAATAATGACGATAAATGGTTTGGTTGTGTTAGCGATAATTCTGATGAATGCCCAGTTTCTTTTCGTGGTACTAATATCAAATCCGTTTCTTCCATCGTTGCTGAAGATTGTCTGATTGGTATTAAAGGAAAATTCTTCAAGAGGAATATATTCAAACTCCTATAATTGAGGTAATTGAGGTAGTCGATAAATATGCTGAAGAATTTAATCACAATGGTAGTTCATGTGTCAAGATATAGTTAATCCTGTAGGATTAGAATATCATAATAATGGTGAGTATTGGTTTAATCTAATGAAAAAGATATGGGTTATGCGTGAAAGAAGTTAATAATCTAAGAGATTCCTTTAAAAGATTTTTTTAGAGAAAAAAAAAATCCCAATAATTATTTCGTTCCTAATAACAAATAATAATAATTGATAATGTGCGATCCGTTCAATTATTTCCAGGACCGACGCATTGTTCTCATTGTTTCACAATTTTCCGATCATCTGAATGAAATTTTAATTTTTTTTTTTTTGTATAGGCACGCCAAAAATATTCTAATTAGAAGATCAACAAATTACGTGGCTTTGTTAAAAAAGTCGCTAGGCGGGAAAGAAATACCACTAGGAGGCATTTGGTTTAAGCCAATTTATCCGGTTTTATTTTATAGTTCAAATTTCTACCATTCACGGTATACAGCGCTTCAAATTTTGCCGGATTTTCTGAAAGGTTTTTGAAAAATCCGGTAAAATTTTTTAAATCTTGAATGATTTTGGACATTTTACTGCAGATTTCAGTATTTTTCAGAAGATTTCCGGAATTTTTCCTAAAAACTTTTTGTGCGCTGACGGTATACCCTAAAAAATTGCATTTACTTGTTATGGCCATTTTTTAAAAATCACTAATAAATATAATTTTTATCACCTAGACACTTCTTACGTAATTTATTATATGGTTTTTAACAGCTTATAGTAAAAATTCCTTTCGTTATATAACCTTCCCGTTCAAAAATGGATGAAAATAGGAGATAGAGCGAGATTTTCACAATATAAATATGAGATCTTGGTTCATGTATCTTCTATAACCTCCAAAAAATATCAGAGTTTTCTCTATCATTCATGAGATCTTTAAACTATACATCACGGTTCAGAATTAATGCACTCAGTTACTTATCAAGTGAAATTGTAAACCGCTCATGACAACATTATAGATGAGGAATCGAACTTCATACAGCACATAATTCTTTAATGAATAAAATAAGAAATTAAGTATTTGTAGTAAGCTTCTCTTTGAGTTAGGGTCAAAAGGAAGGAGAGACTAGAGTTTCTTTCATCTAGATTCGATATTTCAACAATAATAAATATATCTTGCTCAGAAAGATAATTGCAGGAAGTAGAAAACATACAGTATGATCAGTTTGTGACAGATGAACGATCTGAAAAATTCCCTCACCATATTCTCCCTCGAAATCAGAATCAGGAAGTAATGCCAAATATAGAACATTGTAAACATGGCAATTGCCCAGACTATTGAAGCATGATTATATAACAATACTTTATCTTTAATAATGAAATTAAACATTGTACAAATGTGAACTACCTCAATTACAACGGCAATTGGACACTACGACGAGGCGCAATTGCCGTCCGACGGAGATCCTGATTACTTTAACCGATTTATAATTTATGTCAGAGATATCTCACCAACCTCAGGCGGCTGTGACGGAGAGTTCAATGACTCCATCAGTTCAGTATCCTGCATCACCATAGGCTCTATCGCCAGTATTACAACGATTGGCGATATTATTGAGAGCGGTTCATGTCTTAAATTGATCTGAACCTAGTTAAGAATATAAATTCGTAAGTGCTTGTTCTTGGCCAAGATATAGGTTACCTGTTACAACTAGTTCAAACTTCAAATATATATTTAATAATACTATTCATGATAACAATACAAAACTTGACTTTGAATCTTTGAATAATTTGGCATCTCGTTTGACTTTTTCAATTGAGTTGACAATTTTATCGCGCTTTCCATTTTTTTTTTAATCCTCCGAAACTTTCTGCTTCTTGTGAGATAATCGATTCTTTCAATTTGATTTTCCCAAAAAATCTCAAACGCGTGGAACTCGGAAATAATCAATTGATTCTAAATCGCACTCGCATAACTTAGATTAAACTCAAAAGAGAGCACGTGATCGGTAATACTGGCCAGAACTATCGTGATGTTGAACTGCATTATTGTTATCCAATGTGAAATCTATTCGTTGAAAATTATTGAATTCGTCACGTGATCACGCGTTGTTGAACTTTGTACACGAAACTGATTGATAAATCAATATCCATATATCACCAAGATTTCTTGCTAAATTCTCTAATAGTAATTAATGATACTGGAACTCCTGAAACTGTTTTTTTTTTTGCAAACTGGGCCAAGTATATCTCTTAGATATTTCTTTGTTCATAAATTTATAATAATAAATATACATTTACAAATTCATTACTACTGAAAAATCCGTATTACGATTTTATTTATTTAATCTAATTTTTACAGGAAACATTTTTTAGCTATTTTTCGTGGCGTTTTTTAAAAACATATTACATTAAATGCGGCTGATTTACTGTTTGTTCCACAAAATTTACGAAATTTGATAACTTTACAACTATTTGGTAAATTTATTAACTAGTTTTTTAAAAGCTAAAACATTTCAATTTTTTGATTTTTAAAAAACATTCAATAATAACCGTAACTTTTTAAAGTTTAAGTCGTAAAACTATAAATTTAAATTTTTTTAAGTTGGTCAATTGTTACTTACTATAAGATGTTAGTAGTTGCGACATTACAAACATTATTAAAATAAAGAAAAAATTATTTATACGAAAGATAGAATTAAATTTTTTTTTTAAAAATAAAAAATTTTATAATTTTATTTTGGACTAATGCAAATGTCAATGAGATGATCCTGTTGGCGAAAACGTACCCAAACGTGTATCGGTTGAAACGTAATGATTGTCGTTGAAGTAATCGTCGGTAAGTCATTATAAATGCGTCCCATATTGAGAGCGGGTATATTCATGAAATATTCATATTAAAGTATAATTTAAGTGATTTCAAAATTTATAAATCATACATTGTATAAAAATTTTGAGATATAACGAATATTATTTGATCGATAAAATAAAGGAGATCTAAAGGTCTGAATTTTCCCATCAAGTTTGTGATGTGCCAAAAAAAAAAAAGAAAAGAACATGATTTATGCTATCTGAATGCTATGGATTAGATATAAAGATAATAAATTTGGAAGTGACTTTACAAAAAAGATAGAGTATTAAATATTAATACGATCAATGGATTTTGAAAACAATATCAAAGATACAGAGGGTGTGCATTTATAGAGGGTGCATTTATGGAGAGTTGACTGTAGATGTTGATATTTGAAAGAAGAGTTCGTACAATATCGAATATACTAACCCTATAAAAATTTTATTCATTATTTCTGTAAAAACTCCGTAAAAATGAGCCTTTCACGGATCCATTCACGGAAAATGTAAATAATTCGATAAATTCCGGGATATAAGGTTATTTAAGTCCGGAAATATGAGCCTTTTACGGAAAAAGACGGAATATAAGATTCTTTTTTATATATGCTTTTTTTTCTAATTATGTAGTATATTAAATACTATATATTCCAAGTTCAATTAGCTCTTTTGTTTTACTAATAAGAATTTGAGCTTAAGTGATACGAGAAAATTTATACATAAAACTTTAAAAATATCTACGTGATGTTAATCCCTTAAAAATTTCAGCCCGATCACCAATAATGTCCTAGTGTTGATGTAACAAAAAATAAAAAACGGTATAGTTTTTTACACAAAAAAGCATTTGGTTAAAATATTTTAGATATTATACAAAAAATCACAATAAAAATTTACAATCAAAGGTCGGCATTTCCACAATTAATTATATTAATTATATAAGTAATTTTTCATTTTTTACTTTCACATTTTATAAATTTCCTAAAAAATTTTCATTTATTGTATTATTCTATTTTATTAGTTTTATTAGTTTGTTAAAATTCCTTTAAACATTTCTTTTTTCTTTTACTCCAATATTATATAATCATGTGTAATATCAATCTATTAAAACCTGTATGAAAACCTGCATGATCTTTATCTAGGTTACTGAGCTTTGTGATTAAAATTCTGAGTCTAAATTTCTAATCACTTTTAAAATATTCCTGTGAGGCAAAATATATATATATAATAATGAAATCACGTTGATCATCAGAATATTTTGTACTCTACATATTACTTTATTTTAAAATGATTATACCGAATATTATAATTTATTCAACATATTAGCATACATTAAAAATTTGAAATGAATTGGGAGATGTGAGAAAAATGATATCGTATTCATCATCACTACTTCATACCAAGAAAAATTCTTGTTTCAAAAAAAAAAAATTAAAAATAAATTACTTTTAGCACGAGTCAATATTATATATTTAAAAAAAGAAAAAGAATTTTAATTCTATAAAGGGACACGGCACAATTTTTTGCCGAGATCGCATCATGTGTTGAACCGGTAATCGGATAAAAACCGGATAAATGCACCATCGTGAATTGTAATCACATTGGGAGGATTAATCTTTAATATTCATATAGAAGAATCTCTATTTTTTTTACTCGATCAAAATCAAATGATTTAGGAATAAATTTAATTATTTGACGCGTCGAAAAATTGCAGATTTATTTATAAAAAACATTTAATTAACGAAAAAAATTAAAATTTAAACATTGTTATATTATATAATATGAATTTACGCATAAGCACCGAACGTGCATATTCCCTCGCAGAACGTACATGCCCCCAGTTATATAAATATATAATTAAATAAGCGTACATGCCAGTTACACAATATATTAAAATACTATTAAATGTTAAAATAGAAAAAATCGTGAAATGCATCATAATATATCGGATAAATTTCTTGCATTGCTGACAATTTGTCATCAAAATTGAAAACGTTAGGGTAAGATAAAAAATACTCATCCGCTTGATTAATATGAAAATTTTCTTCGTTATAGTTATTATAGTAATTCAAGTCTACCGGTGGATATTCTATCGGTAATTCTTGATTAATATTTTGTTCGTTTTTCTTATTCTTTTTATTATACTTTCGTTTAGGCCCAACTCTATTATTCTTTTTGGGACTTGTTTCGAGTTTTAGTTTGATGTAATAATTCTTTTGACTACCTGTCATTTTGTTCCATTTTTTCGCGGCAATGGATGAAAATTGTTGTGTAGTGATGTTAGGATTTTCTTTTTTGAACCGTTTCCATTCAACTGTTCGGTATTTGATGAAACCATTTGGGCTTTTCCTCTGCTTTTTATTTGGACATTCATGAATAAAATTATCGATAGTTTCCATTTTATCAGGTTGAACGTTGGTTTCTGGTATCATAATCGTAAGGAATTTTTTTTTGTATTTATATATATATATATTTTTTTTTTTTTTTTTTTT